GGCCTAATATGACCTTTAACTTGACCTCATTGCAAATCCCTGAGTTCTGGCGATCTCAATGTATTACGTAATGAATTGGCATCCCTAAGTTAGTTGGAAATGACACCTCAAACGTTTTTCTACACTTTTTGGTTCAAAAGTTACCACGTTTGTACATTAGACCATGCGGACTGGCGGCTATTTTGGATTTGACCTCTTAGGGTCATCAGAGGTCACATCAAACTGTTAGATAAACTAACTGAAAAGGATTAAGGTGGAGAACTCTGCAGGGGAACCATTCCTTAATAAATTTGAGAACATAGCTAGGGAGAACAAATGACAAACTAGACTTTAATTCGTCACTTTGACGAATTAGGTGATACGTAATTATGCTCATGTGTAACGTAATGAAGAACGCATTTTCACGATTTCATCTTTCGTTATAAAATACTACTTCCATTATGGTATATCCATGAGTCAAGTTTCAACTGTGTAGAACAGAGGGAGACAGCGCAATAGAATAAGAAGAAGGCAAGGCAAGAGAAAGAGAGAGAGAGATAGAGGGAGAGGATACAAGTGTAGAGAGAGAAAGAGAGATAGAGAGTGAGAGAGAGATGCAGAGACAGACCAAGTAAAGGAGAGGGGCAGAACATGAGGGGAGAAGGGAAACACAGCAAGAGAGAGGAGAGAGAGAGATGCAATTGAGAACAATGCCTTCAATATTTCTATAGCATAAATAAGCTCTTTTGAATACTGGTCATGAAAATGTTGCCGATAATCAAAAAACGATTATGTTCATATTAAAATGATGACCATGATTGAAAGTGGCACAGCGCCCCCCTCATGTTTTCGATTGAGGATCGTTATATATGATAACTGTTAACTATTACCAGGGAGAGTGCCCTGCTATTACTAAACAAGCTCAAATTTTCGCCTGATTGCAGAGATAAACTTATACCAATCATTGAAGTGATATTTCGACGCACTAAATACCCAACAATGACGTCAATAGAGCTGATTATGACTAATAAGGACTATATCTTAACTAAGTTTCATGCTGCTTATTGACCGTTCCGTATTGGAAAGAAAGATCTACCGTTTGAATAACGTTTTGACGCACTAAGGATGTGAATGCTTCCGTGTGCCATCTGTCAAGTCTTGAGATAACATGCAAATAAAGTTTTTTAACCCTTTTTTTTATCAATTAAACATGAATACAGTGATTTATTTAGTCCTGATTCAATATAAAATATGAGTAAGATATTTATATTTTACCCATCCATAAACCAACATCTATAAGATGTTAAATCTAGAAATGATTGTTAGCATGCATGGCAGTGAACGGCCAAACGATGGAAATTGCCTCAAATTTCCTTTGATTTGATTTGTATACATGTAATACACTAATAAATGAGACACTGGGGTGATGCAGAGAGAAAGGGGGGAGACTATACAGAAATAGAGAGGCAGATCGAGACAGAGCAAGAGATAAAGAGGAAGGCAGCTAGGCATCTCACCCATCTCCTTTCTCCTCAATCCTCTTTTCCCTCTTTCTTTTTCTACTTTTACTTCTTCTAATAATTCCCCTTTTTTTACAGCTTGGATAAAACATAACCTTTTTCTTGTAGTAGCTATTACCTAAAGGAAAATATAAATGTGTACAATTTGTCATATAAGTATTCGCATAATAACTTCGCCTCTATCATTTGTAATTTGTATAATGTGTAATGCTTGAATATTGATATCGATACCTTAGGATAGTGTTACTGTACCCTCTGTTTATCCTCTTACTATCCCCACTTGAATCTTATTTTTCTTCCTCCTTCTCTTATACTTTTTCCTCTTCTTCTCCCTCTTTATCTTCTTCTTAATCTTACCATCTTACCATCCACTTTTCTTTTCTTTCTTTGCTTTACATCATCATCATGTTCTTCTTCACTTTTCTGTATCTCCTTTTTATATCAAATGATTTCGGAAGATCAAAAATGAAATCCAAATTTCGAAGTTGAATATTATTTTTAACAATTTACTCGTTCAGGTTCAATTCTTTAATTTCGATGTTATTTGATATGAATGTTTGTATATATTGCATTTTAAATTTGTAAAACATTTCCTAATTCGGCCGTTTATGCCGCAATGCATTGTTGTTCTTTTATTTTTATTCTCAATAAACCATTATCAATTCAATTCAATACTAGGACACTGCTAACGTTAAAATTTCACAAATAGGACATACGTGACATCATAATTACTGCAAAGTTCTACGGAATTTGCAAATCCGACTTTCAATTGAAAATTTCGACAAGATCCCATCATCGGAATAAAAAACTAAAAAAAGCATTTTATAGCCCATGGTCTCAGCTATAACATACCCAAATTTGGGAGAAAACAAAGCACAAATAAGAAAGATAGTGCTCATAGATGAATGCCATGTAGATTCATGATGTGAACAAAATTCACCTTCCATAGACATAACACGCAAATGACGAAAATTCTGACATGTGGCCTTTAATTGAATTTTGTACTATGATGACATCATTTAAATGATCTCAAAGACGATTGCCTCGACTACAACATATTAAAATCTAGAAGAGAATCGATGAATATTAAGAGAAATACACTAAATTTTCCATAAACATAATGACGTCATAATATGCATTTTTGTATTTTTGACTTCCAAGGCCATTATGATGACGTCAAGATGTACTTAATGGCCAAATGAGATATGAAATCATACCTTCGACTCATACTCTATCTAAATATGAAAAAAAAATTGGCAATCCTTATTCATCCCAATGGACTTTTTATAGGCATGTTTTTGCCCGTATATGCTATGTATTACAAAAATCGCGCGTGCGGACGGTTATTTTGAACGGACGCTCATTCCGTTATTAATAGTGATAAAGAGACAAACTTGGTATCAAATTGTTCGGAAAATTATGAGGAATATCCTGTCAAAAATTTTTGCGGAGGAATTATTTTTCGTTCGGCCGTGACGAAAGAAAACGCGCAAAAATGCGTGTTTTGCGCAATTTTTTATGAATGCTTATAATGGCCTGAAACGTATGCAAAAAAAATTTAAGACGATTTTGAGCAATATAAAATTTTACGCGCGCATTAACGCGCGCACGTACGCGTACGCGCATTTTTGAACGCGTTTATTGACCTGAAATTGACGGGACAGATATTGACCTTGATCGTGATAAATATGAATGAGAAATGGCGTTCTGTTATGAAGATATGATCATGAGTTGATTTTCACAAAATGGCGCCTGGATGACGTCACGATGACTTTGAGTCTTTGAAAAGTCACGCAGTTCTAAGTTAGACTAAGATCTATCATCATTGAAAGATTCATGATTATGGCTTTATTCATTCTTGAGATATCCTGCGAACAAATTCATGGCAGAATAATAAAAATAATAAAGAAAATCTTGACGAAATCAAAAGGTGATACGTCTACGTACGTATCACCTAATAATGGGGATTTAACCTTCTGTAACCATTCAAAACTTGCTATTTTTAGTCAATTTTGACCTCGACCTTGACATAAATGCCACACCCTGAGTTCTGGTGATCTCAAATGTACTACCAGATGAACTGGCATCCCCAATTTAGTTGGAAATGACACCTTAAATGTTTTTCTGGATTATTTGGTTCAAAAGTTACTGCGTTTATACATTAGCCCTTGCGGACTGGCAGCCATTTTGGATTTGACCTCTCAGGGTCATCAGAGGTCAAATCAAACTGAAATAGACTACCTGAAAAGGATTAAGGTGGAGGACTATGCAGGGGAACCATTCCTAAACTAATTTGAGAACAAATGACAAATAAATGAGATTTAACCATTTGTAACCTTTCAAAACATGCTATTTTTAGTCAATTTTGACCTTGACCTTGACCTAAATGCAAAACCCTGAGTTCAGGCGATCTCAGAAGTATTACCAAATGAATTGGCATCCCCAAGTTAGTTGGAAATGACACCTTAAACGTTTCTCTGGACTATTTGGTTCAAAAGTTAAGCATGTTTGTACATTAGACCATGCGGCCTGGCGGCCATTTTGGATTTGACCTCTCAGGGTCATCAGAGGTCAAATCTGACTTCCCTCCACATCTGAAAATAAATCTTATGGTGAAAGCAAACTATGCTAGAAGTTTCATGCTTTTATCAAAAAGTGCACAATTTTCTTGCTAAGCCGCTGCACTACTCTGGGAACAAAGGTTTGAAAGTGTTTTTGTGTTTCCTGATAAATACTGAAAATTTTTGACTTGGGCTACATGCCCCCTTGAAAACCCCAGGCATTTTCGTGGGTCAAACAGGGGTAGATTCAAATATATTCCAATTGTGTCGATATGCATATCAAATTACTCGTCTGGTCATGAAGATTCCAAAAATGTATAGTTTGCTATACCTCCGACCTTAAATGAGGGCACTATGGTCAAAAACGTTGAAAGGTCAACACATTTTTGACTGGTGGTCAAATTCACCAACACAGTAAACCATATCAAATTGCATATCAAATTACTTGTCTGGTCATGAGGATTCCAACAGGCTGGTCTCTTACTAGTTTAGCCTACATTTCGAAAATGGTATATTTGTACATGATACATCTCAGACTAAATATCACTGCTACTTTGTCAGATGATCCGTGGGAAATTGGGAATTGAAGGAGGGGTCGATAACTGAATCAGAGGGTATATCGGTATAAGATTGAAATAGACTAAATAATCACACAAAGCAAATTCATCCAAACATTTGACCGAAAACTTGGGTCGACTGATCATGCCGAAACAAATCATTGAACCTGTGCTGCGCATACGATCCAGAGCACTGCCGGCTGGGTGTGCAAAACATTTTACTCGTTGTAAGCTGCTCGCATTGTCCTGTGTTGTTCTCTACTTCATGTGACATGAATTCCTTTGCATTAATCAGTTTAGTCAGATGCCGCCTTATCTAATGCCCCATGAACATGAACGACATTATTCTTGTCAGCATTATTTACTCTTCGGGAACTACTCACCGTCATCAATGGCATCAATCAGCATAGCCCTTTGGGAGCGCTGGGCATCGGATAGCGGTCCGATCGTGATGGTGTGTGGTTTGGACCGGGAGCCTGTGGTCTGCAGACTACGACGAGCTCGTGCTAGGCACCCCTGGGCGCAGCGGGAGCCCGAGTCGTTGTTGTCACATATCAGGATTGAGCAGTGGACGTAAACCTGATAATCATAAGTTGTCGAAAATTATGATAAAGTCCCGCATTTCAACGTGGGGGTTAATAGCACATTTTTGTTTTGGTCCCAACAATTTCGTAACGACTCAGGGGGGGGGGGGGGGGGGGAGGGTATGGTCACTTCACTTTTTGGGAGTCACCCTTTGGTACATTTGTTAAATATTTTTTTTATTAAAACAAAAAGAGGGGAGCAAGGGGCCATTGTTGACACTCACCTTGTCGTAATCGCCAATGAAGGTAAAAGCATCGATACTGAATCTCTTGAAAGTTGAAGAGGCCCAATTGTAGATGACTGCTGTGCTGTCCACGGCACATCTACAAAACACAAACACATGTTTTGAAATAAATTGGCTTTCATGATGATATACGTAGTGCATTTTAGAATTTTAGGCTAATTCATAGGCGGATTAGGACTGAAATTCGGTTGACAATTTCGATGCGACCGGCCCACTCAACCTCTAGGTTACATATCCGACCATCAGAGCACAAATCGACCGGCCCTAAAGACATAATAGCGAGTTTTCGCTACCGACGACGCGGCATTCTACAATTCTAATCTTAGCAGGGGGTCGCATTCAGAGCGAAAATTTCCGCGTAGCGTCCAAACCTACGACGGTATACAGACTGATTAGCGTCGGGAGTCGAGCTAGTACTGGGTGGCGAGCTCATTTAAAACCCCGTAGTCAGCACTTGCGTCGCCGTGCGAAAACTCGTTAATATTGAAAGGCCCGCAGGGGGAAACTCTCCAGACCCCCCCCCCCCCCCCCCCCACAGTCAGTCTTCCCCTTTGGAATAGCACAGTGTATGTCCATTCATGAACGGATGTGCACTGCTCTTACTTGTTGGATGAAATGTAAGAATCTGCGACCCTTCCCCCCCCCCCCCCAAAAAAAAAAAAAAAAAAAAAAAAAAATCATTGACAACAGGAAAGAGAGAAAACCCGAGTCCATAGAAAATATAGGGAAGCTAACCCCTAATAGGTATATTCCCTAAAGAATCAACAGGATCAGATTAAAAACAGGGTGAGCAAAGGTAGAACAAAAATAATCTACCCATTCTCGATGATATCATAGCGGTGATCGTCTCGTGGGTCCGGCGAGCTCGTTGCCCAGCACGACTCGATGAGAAGCGTTAGGTTCGCGACGGACGTCAGACGGACGCCGAAGTATAGCGGTGTGCCGAGCATAACTTCGCCGGAATCGTTGACAGGTTGGTAGAAGCCTGAGTTTGTATACCGGTCAAGGTTCAGCGAGAACTCACCGTATCCTTTCTAGATGGTGAGATACATTTGAGATATATGAATGTCAGATCTGGGTATATGGGACACATAAATGTACCAGCAATATTTGATCGATATATATAAACTAACATAATTTCAAATATGACAGAAAATGTACAGCAATCATTTCCATGTGACATACCTAGAGAGAATTCGCAATTTACTTTTAATGTTTATCAGAACTTAACCCTCAATGAAATGTTGATAATAAATAATAAAGCGGTCTCATTTTCCTATGGTAGTCACTGCTCTTTTTACGGGCCCCACAGTTATTATTACCCAATATTTACAGGTATCAATTTAATAAAGCTAGATCTAAAGTGACAAAATTAATGTGGCCTAAACACCTCGTTCAAGGATGTAAGCACTCAGCAAGGATCGAACCCGGGACTTCTAATATGAGAACCAAGAGCCTTATGTATAATAATAATGATGCTAATAATTATGATAATATTAATAATTATAATAATGATAATAGTAATAATAGTGATAATAATGATAATACTAATAACAAAAATAAAAACAAGTCAACGCAAAGCGTAGCATCCCCTCGCAGGGTACAAATGGCCTTTATACGCCAGAACAAGTACCTCCATTGGACTATACTATTATATTACTAGGCAAGGAAGTTAACCACATTTTCACATATGTAATTATGTGTTTTTGCATATTTGATGAGCTATGACCTTTCCCCTTTGACCTACATACTCAGAAATCAAACTTAGGCTGTACATGTATTTTGATACCATGTACCTGCATTACAATGTCATTAAAATTCGGACGCACGGAAGGACGGACGGCAACGTTACTATATCCCTTCCGACTTCATCGGCGAGGGGATAATAATCGTTTCTTCATATAGAGTACCGAAGTGCTAATGCCATATCCGGCCGTCGTCCAGGTGACTAGTTCGAAACAACATTGGCTGATCACGAGGTTCACCGCAAAATCATTCAAGCAACGGGCTGGAGAAGGGCAAATTCAGTGTTTGGGGCTGGTGTGATCACTACACTATTTGTTGTTTGGAAAAAGCAACCTTCACAACTTGGCCAATATAACGTCACACTTCGGTAATTCTATTTAGCGCAAATGTCCTCACGCTGTGGCGTCGAACATGATTACATTGTTCTTGCCAAAGCACATTGTGCCGAGCTGAGATTCGAACCCTCAACCCTTGGATTGATAGCCATGTAAAAGAATTACTATTCCACGACATCTCCACCATCATGCCACGTTGCTCCTATCAGAATTTGCTTTACTTAAGCTACAAAGTAATTGAATCCTCACCTCTCCGGGAACATAAAGATCACCTTTAGGCAGGAAGGACTCTTCCAAGACTTGTGTCCTCTCCAGATAGCAAGTAACAGGGATATGAATATAGTGTTCTCTGGTAATGAGCTCATTAGTTCCATTTTCAGGGCGAGGCTTGTAAAACGTTACCATGTTGGTAAATATTATGTAGTCGTCGTCTTGCTGCGTGTATTGATTGGGGGGGGGCAAGGGCATATAAAAATGAATATTTTAATAGAGAAACTGTTATGGGGACCAAAAGGTAACAGTGTACCGTTTAAGCTGTTCTACTCATGATGATGATGATAATGATGATGATGATGATGATAATATTATCATCAGGGCAATTCCACGGTAACGGAAGGACACTCAGACAAGATTTTTGAACTTCAGGTTCATACTAAAAGAACTGTTTTATTAGTATAAGATGTGAAACAGTACAGATATAATACCTATATAAGTGCCTTTAATTCTCCCCCAAAAAATTGTCATTATAGTTAAGTAGTTTAAGAATGTGCATATTAATTATCTCGGTAACGGAAGGACATAAAAATGGACATGGTTTTTCCAGTTAATTAGTGTTTATCCAAACTTTGTGAAGTTGATGAAGCTTTCCACTTGACTGAAACACATTTTGTTCCCCATAGTTTAATACATACTAATAAAACATTTCTTTTAGTATGAACCTGAAGTTCAAAAATCTTGTCTGAGTGTCCTTCCGTTACCGTGGAATTGCTCATCATTGTTGGCAGTAATTATGATAATAGGAAATGAATAAACGATTCATTCGTAATGGGTAACTATCTGACTGGAGAGTAGCTGATTTAGATGTAATATGTTTTCTAAAAGACATTAGTGCTACGGCAGGGAGTCTCACCCGTACATTATGGTCCACAATCCACGGACTATATCCAGGCGACTACAACACTTCTACTGGATATAAAACCTCAACAATAGTAAATACTTCTGATTTACTATGGTCTGCCAAAAAAGTTGAACATTAGAATAATAAAAATAGAGTACGAATAAAGACAAAGAACATTACTTTTTGTTCATCTTTGGCCTTTATTGCCATCCATACATCGGTGTTCTATTTCAGAGTTTACTCTTAAACCGCCTCTGAAGATTGGGGCCTTTGGGTAAAGAATACCGTGTTTACAAAAGCAAAAGAAATTCATTTGGCTTGACAGACAGCTTCAATATGTATTTTTGTAAATGTTAATATTGGGTCTACGACCACTTGTAAATGTTGATAATTAACATTGTCTTTGAAAGAATGGACCAGCGATTCATGAGAACATTACTGGAATCCTCATCAAGTAGTATTTTTGTGATGCATCAATGGTAAATAAACACTTATTGACCATACCTTTTGCGTAGTACCACATCTGTCGTACATGGTGGTGATCGCAACATGCTGACTGTCGTGGTCGTATCCAACACAAGACTCGTCTTCGAAATGGACATCGCGAGCGTCGTCGCTGATCTCGAGAAGGGTTCTGTCCATAATGAGCGTCATCGACACGCTGTCACAAGTCAGGTCTGCATCTGCGAGAAGATATCAAATGGATGCATGATCAAAATATGAACTTAGTGCTCTTGCAATTTAGGGACATAACATGGCGAGAGTCCATTTGCAAGGGGCTAGTTACATCTCAGTTTCTTCTTTAAATCTGCAACAATCATATTCTATATAATTCGTTTACATATTTTTTTTCAACAAAGTCATCTCTCCGGAGTAGAAATACAAAAATACATTGAACGTTAATCCCAATTCAAGATATATTCCGCTCATGTGATACTCCCCCCCCCCCACCTACAGACAAATTAATAATTCGTATATTTCATGTGAAAGTGTAATAAAACGAAATACGAATCACAAAAAACATCGCGTTGATTTGTTTGCTGAATGGTGTGATTTCTTCTAAAGATTTTATTAACTGCGTTAATGGAACTTGTGAAGGCAAAAGGGTCCATATTATCACGTTCTGTTTTTCAACCGATTGTTTGAGCTGCTCTTTTTTCAATTCACTTTCAGTGCAATTTCACATTACATGGTGTGTTAATTACCGAACCTCTCTTTGACGCAGTTCTGCATCACTGATCACTGACGCCGCATGTGCAACGAGTAGTTTGCGAGCACAAAACCTTGACGGAACGCATGGCAAAGGGTCTGAGCAAGGAGCCTATACAGAGACTGTAGTCAATAGTCCCTGTACGGTAGTGCTCGTGACTTAGGGTACGTTTATGCTCAACTTCTTCTGGCTAGAATGAGGCATTTGTTATGCGTTTAGTTCAAAACAAGGTTGCGTCCTTTCTCATTTTTGTAGAATCACCGAAAGACGGCGATCGTAATCGCCGATCATAAACTCACAAAAGGGTGCGTTTTGAATCGGCGATTCTGGGGAAGCATAAGCGCACAATCATTTGTAAACGCGTTTAAATAGGGTCAACGTAGCATGCGCAGTGCAGGTTTGTGAATCCAGCTGCAGAGCCAGAATCATGCCTGGAGGAGCCAGAGAAGTGAGCATAAACAGTACACCGTGGAACTGCGATTACGATGAGCGTTTACGATGTTCGTTTCAAATCGCTCATTCTGCCTTCAAAATTGAGCATAAACGTACCCTTATTTGACACATCCAAAGACTGGGTTAGGCTTTGATCAAGATTTAAAGGTTTTTTTGTTTAAGTGTCGAATGAAAGTATTTGCCTCCGGTGCACTCGAGGCGTTCGTTCATTAACGCAGTTCAAAATCATGCAGGCACATGCATGCACAGAATAGGTCCAGGCATTATTTCTAGCCACAGACACAACCCCTGAGGTAGGGTGCGGTAGCCTGGTACAAGATGCGTTTGTCCAAAATTGGGCCTCCGACAAAATACCTAAATAAAAATCTACACAAACCAATCAGTTCTCACAGAAAATTTCTGTGAAAAGTAGTATAGAGCCGTCTTTATATTGAGGAGGATTACTGTTCGCCGCGTTCTAGCTGTGGGATGAATCTTGATCAATTGATCAACTGGCGTCTTGTGGCGTAGTGTCATATAGCGCATCTGTGCAACGGGATTTACATGGGCAGTGCTAGTATTGAATAACAGAACAAAAAATCATCGACCTAACAAACAAAAATCAGATGTATTTACCTTCAGGCAAGCAGACAACACTGGCATCTTCCCCATGGACGCAGTTGTGATTGCCGAAACCGTTATGCGGGCAGTCGAAAATGTGTACCTCGTTGCCCGAGCAATTGACGTTATCCATCCAAATAGGACCACTACCCTGGCCGAAGCGTGCCTGGATTGGCGCACTGAGGGCATCCTGATAGCCTAGACTTCTGCAGACCACACGTGCATCATTTATGTCCCAATAGTCGTCACAGACGGTTCCCCAAGATCCGCTACGATATACCTCTACCCTTCCTTCGTGTGCTTCATTACCATTCACGAGACGAACTATGGAAGAAAGACAAGCATGGAATCTATTTCAGCACATAGGCATGGGAGGGGGGGGGGGGTTGAGGGCAAGGGCATTATTCCTAAATATTTTTACCACCAAAAAAGAAGAAGGAGAATATGATACGGTCAGATTACTCGGTACCCTTTTATTCCTATATTGTCTTAATGCACACATGACTCTTATTTAGTTGACATAATCCGGCGTCTTCTTTGCATTCAGATGACACTGACGCCATTACAACGTGACTACATCAATGGACGATTCCCTGAAATGCCTACCGTACAACACAAATCTACTGTCCATTTTTTCATTCAAGATCTCTTGATTTACTGATTGAATAATGGTTCTTTTGGTATCACGACCATTGGTCATTGTCCCATTTAGAGGTCATTCGTTTATGGATGACAGTCGGAGGATAAAGAAATTTATGTCGTGCGAAACACATGGATTTTATATTAAATAGATAAATAACATGACGCCACAGTCTACGCAATCCTAATTAAAAATATGGCATGTTCCAAGTAATTTTGCAAAGACTTACCAGTGCTTGGTGCTTCAGTTGGCATCAGGCTAGTTGTGTAATCTTGATATAAGTGATAAAGAGGATACATGGATAAGTAGGTAAAAGGAGGCGGAGGAAAAATAGAAACTAAGATCGGTTACTTTCACTTCAAATTCATCTATAATATTTCAGCTGCAAAATCCATCCAACGAAACTACATGAGAAAATATAGAAGAAACAAATTCTGAAGGGTCCACAAGGCCTGCTACAAGAACACTATTTGTCGGTCTCGTGGTCCAATGGTCTAGTAAACACTCAACACAGATAATTATTCCACCACCATGTTGTTGAAGGCACCCAGGGATCATCAGTGACTGGTTCTAAATTGTGATTAAGAGTAAAAATGTATATGAAGGAGAGCCCTGTGTCTCTGCACCTAACATTTCACTGGAAATTGAGAAGAATTTTCTTTCATATTCCTTTCGAGCTTGATCTCACATTAATGCTAATATATTCTGCAGAGTAAGTTTGCGGACGGAAAATTTCATTATCATGATCATACTATTGTATAAATTATTCAGACCTGTATTTGAATTGGAAAGACTCAGTTGGAGCTGAAATCCTCTTTCAGTGACTGAAGAATCAGTGGTGAACAGCATCCAACTTTTAGAGGCGTCTAATCTAAAAAAAGTCAACACATCAAGAATATTTTTGAGAAATGCATTTCAAGGGTTATTTAAAGGACATTAAGTATTGAGAAGTGATTTTTTTTTTTTTTAAATATTACTCAGTTTTTTCTTCCAATTTCATATTTTATTTTAATTTGTATCAAATATTTTATTGTTATTTTTAGCCGATGTTTCTGCATCTATTTAAACAAAATCTAAATATTCAAACAACATTAACAGTATATAATATAATTGATTTACACAAAATGTTACAACAGCAATACAAAAAGAAATACATAGAAATAATTGAAAACATGAAAATATGGGGGTAAATCAACGAATAAAGATAAATTTACAGGCCAACTTTCATGAGCATGAATGCTTGAGCCGATAGCAGCCGATATGGAATGACGTTTAAGTCTGAAATGTCGGTAATTAAATGATTAATAGAATAAGTATGGTCAAACGTAACATAACTGTAGGTTTGTTATCACCAGGCTCTTTTAAATCTTTTTTTTTTTTGGGGGGGGGGGGGGGAGGAAACTTTTTTGTTGGTTTCTTTTGTTTGAATCTATAATAATTTTATGCGCATCGTATCGCAGCAAAGCTTACTCTGCCTTCCCAAACATCAAGGTCTCATATAATTCATTATTGAATTAAAACAAAAATGTCTAAAATATTGATACAAATATAATAAAGGATCTGTACTGTAGACGAGTCAATTTATCTCTAAAAGACAGAACGCATATAAAACAGTGAAAGCAGATATCATACACGATATATGAATTATATCTTATATGATATAAGACTAGAATAGGGTAGATAATTTTCATCACTTCATACGGACCTCATATCTGGTGGAAGGGAAGAACCTGACAGCTTAGCCAGCTGAACACTTCCAGGAGACAATGGCGATTCTCCAATCCCGATTCTAAGATAATCATAATCACTTTCAAGTTCGAAAGCCATAAACTGAACAAGAACATCGTAGCCTGAAGGAGCCGTGATATACCAATGATAGCGCACGTTGTTCGGGTAATTTGAAGGATAGTTTGGAGACGACATGGTCTGGGTAATCCCAACAACGAGAGTCACATTTTCTTCTGTAAGATACGTGTTTGGAGATAATACATTGGTCATCTCTATACAGATCAATTATAACAAAAGACTCTATTTCACCCTATCAACTGTTTTATGACACTACTTATTAGGAAAATAATTTCTTTTGTATGAATTTCACACATTGATTGCAGTACTATCCTAAATCACCTTATGCTTTAGAACTATAGCCTATACTTTGAGTAACTGTTTATGTAATTATATCGGCCCTGAATTCTACTTGGTCGAAATAAAATGATAGTAGTTGTACAGGACCTTTAAGACGCTAGACCATGGAACGTAGGATCGAGGGACGTGGAATCAATGGAACATGAGAGCAACTGGGCCTAGGACTGATAAGATGTAGGGCAATGATATAAAGGACCAATCTGACATAGAGCCTATGGGACACAGGACATAGGAGAGTTGGTAGGTTGGACCATAGTGACAATTGGCCCTGCAATTGGACATAGGACCGGTTAGACATACAGTAGGACCTTTGGGAGTTTGTACCATTGCGAGGATTGGTCCTGTAATGGGAGGTAGGACTAGTTGGACATATAGGACCACTGGCACGATTGTTCCTGGAAGGGAACATAGGAGCGATGGGATTTAGGAGCAATGCGATTTAGGACATATGGGACGTAAACCGATTGGGGCAAAACGTTCTTAACATTAAAACGTTCCGCAGCTTGTTACACTCGCGGCTCATGTATGGTGTCACATTACAGTGCGAGTAAACATCTTAATGATAAGCAAATTTACCATGAATATATCAATTAAAAGTACATAAAAAAGAGCAGCTTGTTTAAAATCACTCTTTATCGGAGCCACTTTTTCTCAACGTGTTGAGCGAGTGTAAGCTGAATACGGCTATGTACATTTATCCCCTTTAATCTTGAGATGGATATAATCATGAATAATGCACAAGACATACGTACCTCCTACAAAAGGCATGTCCCACCACCCCGTTGTTGAGTCCCACCACCCCGTTGTTGTAGGATCAGGGACATCGGGGGTTGGTTCTGAGGTACAATAATCAAAAACGTTTTAAACAGGTATTTCTTTCCAATTTAAATCACTAATATGACCAGTTTGCTGAAATACAAGTGATACACAAAGTTTAAACGATATAGGAAGCAATGTTATCATTAATATCTATTCTCCATAAATTGTTATGCTTCAGTAACCTTGGAATCTTATACTTCCAATAGTTGCCATTCACGCCTAGAACACATAATTTCAACTTTCTAAAAAATGTCTGAAAATAACAATTACATGTATTTGGGCAATAATTTTTACAGGTAGAGCAAGGTTACTAATACAAGTTTGAGGTTTTAGTTGTCATGCATTTAAAACGTATATATATATTCATTGTTTACATATTTCGTGTCAAGAGCAATACAGTAGATCAGACGTGGTCTAGTGTATCCATCACCGGACTGTATTCGCGTTTTGAGTCGACATCTCGACTCTCCACCCAGATGTAGTAATTGGATAATTGGTATAGGAATGTATTCCTTGAATCTATTGGGATCGCATGGGATGAAGTAATGACAAAACAGAGACAGACTTACGAATAGTACTCCACCACCAAGTTGGTCGAGGTGTCCTGTTATCTTCAGTAGTTGGTTCTAAAAAAGAAGAAAAAAGTCAAGATATTCAGGAATGCTTCGTAATCTAAATGTTTTAATCCGAAACTGAAGAATTCTGAAAATCCTATTCACCTAGTTTTGTCAGTATTTGCACTTCAAATTAATTTCTTACAATTTAAACCAGTATCATTCAGTTCAATTAGATTGTTCTTCATTTCAATCTTTGGTTGAGCTAGAACGAAGTAGACATGTATAACATGAAGCTGAATCTCTTTTTTTTTTTTCTTTCTTTTTTTTTTTTTTTTCTTTTTTTTGGAGGGGGGGGGGGAGGAGTCAGCTGAGACCAAACAATTTAGTATTGGTGCAAAAGAAGGCAGAGAAGGCATATTTGTATTGCTTTCTTGGTATTGTGACCATATAGGATGACAAAGACAGACTTACGATCAGTATTCCACCACCACCGAGTTGGTTGAGGTGTTCTGTTATCTTCAGTAGTTGGTTCGAAAACCAAATAAAAATACTTCAGGAATTTTCGTTGATTCTTGGTATTTTTTTTGTGTTTTCTTCCCGCAAAATGTAAGTCTCAAACAATTTTATAATATTCGATATTTCGAAGGTTCATCTCAAACAAAGATAAAGAAAAAAGATGAAGGAAAAAAAAAAGAACTACACCTCTGATGATTTGAAGCAATGTAAATTAGTATCATCCACTTCAATCAAATTTTCTTCATTTCAATCTTTAGTTAAGGTATGATAAAGTACACATCTATAACATGAAGCTGAATCCCTTCTTAGGGGGGAAATGGGGGATCTGTAACCGAAGGATTTGTTTTGGTGCAAAAGAAGGCAGAGAAGACAAACATGTATTGTTTTCTTGGTGGGTAAACTACAATGATGGGTAACCTACAATTTGTTATCTTAAAAAGGTAATTTCCTCATGAAATTACATAACGGTTTTAAATATGTGTACAAACTTGCTGCTTTTTCTAAATCTAATTTTAACTACACATCAATTTCTCTGGTGGCACCCCTAAGGAGATCTTGCGGATACCCAAGTGCGGTGGCACCCCGGTTGAAAAACGCTGATCTAAGCAATGGCGGGATCCATAATTTGGATACAAATCTCTTTAACCCATAAATGGCTCCAAGAAGAGGCATTTGAGACCGAGGGACTTAGTATTGGTACACACAATTTATTTGTATTGCCTTCATGGTTTTGCGACCGTTTGGGGTGAAGTAATGACAAAACAGAGAAAGACTTACGATGCGTATTGTAATCTGGAGTCGTTGATGCTAAAATGAAATAAAATGGCAAAAAGAATTTTCAGGGATGATTGTTATTTCTATTTTTTTATCCTAAAATTGATGCTCAGAAACAATTTAATAGTGTTCAGAATTCTGACGGTTCCTCATTCCACCAAAGGAACAAAAATATATCATTTTGTAATTTCAGAAGACTTATGATATTCAAACGTCACGGATATATGTCATGTTATTCACATAACGTCGCCTCAATTTATTTCAATGTCATTAAAGGGATTGTTGAGTTCTGTTGCAGAGGGCACTTAACAAAATAATTTCGTGTGAGATAATGAAAAACTGAGTGTCAAATTTGAAAGAACATACAATTTAAATGACAAAATCATCTTTGTTTGATCAACATTGGTTTAGAGACGGCTGAAATATCCATAAATATAACGATTTCTATTCGATAATTTGAAAAAGCCGTTAAAAAACGAAATAGCGCCTTTTACGTAGTATTTCAGCCAATGCTGATGTTGGCTTTTTTGTTGGCTTTTTCGCGTCGTTTATGTAACGCACAACCAGCCGGCCCATGTATTGTTATTATTAATTAATTAATTAACGGTTAACGTATTTTTTAAAGTGGAGCTGAATCGGTATGATCGTATTGGCTAAATTTCACACATTTTGGGGTCTAACGTTACCCTCATAGCAAATTTAGGTCATAAAAGGGCACTAGAAATGTCATAAATAAGAATAAGAGCAATAATCATGCACTTTGAAGGCATTTGCGGCCTGAAAACAGAACTCAACTATCCCTTTAAGTTCAATTCAGTTCTAATTTATTAGAATTTTGGTTGAGCTAGAACGAAGTATTTAATGAACCTATACATGGCTTTAGGAAATGATTTCAGTTAAGAGAATGGCATCAACATGGCCCAGAGGTAATAATGATGATGATAATGATAATAAAAATAACAATAATAAAGATACACAAAATATTGAAAACATTATAATGAAAATTATACCTATATTAAGAAAATTTATTAAAAAGAAATGATAATGATATTATTGATCATAATGATGAATACAAAATATATCTATTGCTTCTGAAAGATGAAGATACACCATTGTAAAATATAAAAGGATGAATTTATAGAAGCGGAAACTAAACTTAAGAGTCTGTCACGTAAACTTCGCAGGTCAAGTGCAATAAAACTATTCATCCTTATAAATTTCATAAACTTCATTTCATTTCTACATGATGTACACAGAATTAAATCGTTCTCTTTTGATTAGTGTTGACGCACGATGTCTTTCTATTGGGCTTGATGTCCCAAGTCTTAGTATCTTCTAACGGGTGCGTCCATAAAAAGGGGGCCTGTGACCGCCATCTACATTAAAGTTATCCGTTGGAAAAAGAAAAAAAAAATTCAAGAGACCATTTAGAGTAAGACAAAAAAAATCGGACTTTTAGCATTTTTTTCTTCTTCATAATTTTTAAATGGTTGTGTTACATTTTGGACCTTCTGACAATTAATAAGTCGGAGAATTCCTAAAAATAAACGTTCACTTGGGTCCGAAGGTTTGCGTAATCGATCTTCTCGGTATCGTAGACCTACGTTCTAACCCGGTGTTTTTTAGGGTACGCATATGCATGTTCCCTCCTTTCGAAGATACTCCCTAAGGCGAGGCGTCAAAAATATCGATACCAGCAGGCTGCCGCCTCACGTATTGGCGCATCGAGGCTGCAATTACGGCCGAAGCCTGGCTGGGGCAATTATTTTTCTTTTATTAGCCCAGCCGGCTTGCGCCAGGCTGGGATCTGAGGCTCGGTTTCCATTCGAAAGGCGGCAGCCGGCGCATGCTTTTGAATGCAATTTCCTACCGCCAGCGGTAGCCGGCTGAGCTAATTTAAAAAATGCAGCCAGGACGCACAAGTGCAGTTAGCTGCCGCTGGCTGGTATATTTATTTTTGACGCCTCGCCTAAGTCCGGTGTGTAAAGTCTTTTTTTGTGTATGTACGAGCCGGACTTTGGTGCGTGAAAAGTACCCCTTTACCGGACATTTTGGTAACACGCATGGTATCCCTCCGTATGGGGGGGGGGGGCGGGGGGCGTTATAACGGGCTGCCGCAGTTAAATAAATACGTAATCGTGCTTATGCCTAGGTCACATTTGCCGCAGCGGCCGTACGGTCTAAAATATCTACGGCCAATAGCAATTATAGGACCGCCGCAGCTTTCCCACGGGCACATACGGTAGCGGTCACATATGTTAGGGTAGCCGCAAGACGTATTTTGAATTTGTGAAGACAGAACATCTGCGACTGCCATACGGCCTTTGAAATGATGACGCATTGCCGCCTTAGGGCGTCCCTGCGGCGGCCGTAGCGTTTTGACAAAATTAATACTAAGGCAGACGCAATACAGCCGCAAGGTGCCCGCAAGGCGGCCGAAGGGGCATCATACGGCAACCGTGTGGCCAGACTAATGCTACCGCTTCATCCCTGTAGAATGGCGTGGTCCAGCTGATATGCCTCCACGATAGGATAGTTTTTGCCACTCTCAACTACACTCTACTGCGGCATTTAAATAATATTTTCTGACTAGGTAATCCTGTACTAAACATGGTTACCGGGTAGGGAAGCAATATTTTGAATGCCATAGCAGCTCTGCTAAAACCAGGGTAATATTACAGCACTTACAAGCATCACTATAAAGTGTATTATTGTTTTCATTATTATATATTTTAATGTGAATAGTTTAGAATGCGCAAACAAAATGGATACGCACCATTACCGCAGAATTGAACATAGTCATGACAACAGTCACCAAGTTGCTGGCAGGCAGAATCGCAATAGCACCCTCCCATGTTGCCACAGTTACAGCACCCTTGGCAGAAGTCACCTAGAGTAGAATAGATATATACAAAAGTTAATTGCCGTACTTACTAAAGATTTAGTTCACTGGGTATGCTGTAGCCCTCATGTTTAATATTCATTCAATGTTACTGTTTAATGATAAACGTTCTATAAGTACTCGAAAACCAGTGTCAGGTTAAAGTGCATATTCAAAAGAAGATGAAAAAAAAATTCAAATCAGATCAAATATTGGGGTAAACACATGGTTTGATATTTTAGATCAATTTAAAACCTTTTAAAACCAAATGCATGCGCTAGTTCACCTTGGTAAGCAATTTATTTCCTAGGTATCCGCGTCTGCTTTATCTACAATCATACACTCTTTAAAATTGTCATGGAATGTGCACTGCAAACGAATAAGGGGCAAGGTAATAAGTGAAAATTTGAAGAAAAAAATGCTCTGTACTTTCAGGTTGTGCACTCTTCTTTCTTTGAAGAGTACAAGGCTGCTGTGTAGTGCAGTGCTTAACAATACAAGTGCTGAACAGTACATTTTGCACTCTTCACTTTTGACGCTGTCACTTAATATTCCGAGGTACTTCTCATTCCAAGGCTGCAATAGCATTACAAATATGGTATAATTTTAAAGAAGAATACAACAAATTTCTAATGCTCCTAAATTTCTTTTGAAAGGTTTATATGAAATGACTTCGCCTTTGAAGCTGATGTATAATTTCGGTAGGGAAAGGGAAATTTTAAAGAAACATGTAGTATGTTCTCCTTGCATAAAAAGATATACGTCTGATATTACTTGGTATTCTATCCATGCTTTTCAGTGAATTGTAGAGTAAATATCTGCGAGGAATGCTATAAACTTCCCTATGCAAGAATCCTTCCAGCCCGATGGTTCACGGCACCATACTCTCAGCTATTCGCTTAGAGACAGGTTGGATATAGACTGTAGCATAAACACACAGTCCTCGTAAGGCTTACATGTGGGAAGTGTAAGTGGTCGTTGCTGGAATTTACCATCCAGAATGACCAGGATGAAATCTAAATTATTTTGTATCTCTCATTTGTTTAATATTTTACTTGAAAAGGACATGTGAAGTTTTACAGTAGCTTAGTATTGGTAGTATATTCACATCTAAAACTAAAGAATTTTGACGAAAAGTGTTAGGGGGCTTACAGAAACTGTACATCACAATGTGAAAGATCTAACCATGAAGAATTACATGACATACGTACCTCCTGTAACAGGTAGGTCTCTTGTTGTGTCCCACCATCCCGCCGTTGTAGGATCAGGGCCATCGGGGGTTGGTTCTGAGATACAATAATCATAAACATTTAAACACGTATTTCTTTCCAATATAAATTACTCTATCACATGATTTAAAAATCAAAATTTGATACCTTTCATGACAAACCTTCAAAGACTGAAGACAAAAGGTCATACGAACATGAACTGTTTGCTAAAATACAAGTGATACACAACGTTCAAACGATATCGGAACCAATATTATCATTAATATCTATCCTAGACAATTTTTTATGCTTCAGTAACCTTGGGAACTCTCAAAAGTTGTCATTCCGCAACGCCTAGAACTCATTTCTGAAAAAAACAAATACATGTATTTCGGCATGAATCTTAATAGGCAAATCAACGTGATCAACGTTTGTGGACGAAACAATTGTGTTCTCATTGTAGTTTTTTTTCTCTCTAGTTTTCTATTTTCATGCATTTTATACGTATATATTCATTGTTTACATATTATGTACACGTCTTTTTATTTCAAATATTCCACGTCATGAGAAATACAGGATATCAATCGTGGTCTAGTGTATCCATCACCGGACTGTGGATCACATTGTTCGCTTTTCGAGTTCCACCGCGGCTCTATCGTCCTTTGGCAAGACATTAATCGACATTTCCACTCGCCACCCAGGAGTAGTAAATGGGTAGTTCGTATAGGAATTCATCCCTTGAATCTATTGTGATCGCATGAGATGACGTTATGACAAACCAGAGACAGACTTACGATGAGTACTCCACCACCACCAAGTTGGTTGAGGTGTCCTGTTATCTTCAGTAGTTGGTTCTAAAAAAAGAGAAAAAAAGTCAAGATATTCAGGAATGCTTTGTTGGGCGATCCAACTTCACAGATTTTCGCAACCTTCATGGAAAGCCCCGCATATAACCTTTGTAAACATAGTTAAAAATGTACTGTTACTTTGTATATTTTGATTTTTATATTGCGAAATAAATTTGAATTTGAATTTGAATTTGAATTTGAATTCTAAATGTTTAAATCCGAAACTGAAGAATTCTGAAAATCCAATTTAACATAGTATCTGTCAGTTCAATTCAGTTTTACTTCTTTTGAATCTTTGGTTGAGCTAAAACGAGGTGCACATATAAAACATGAAGCTGAATCCCTTCTTTGGGGGAAAAAAGGAGTCATCTGAAACCAAAGGATTTGTTTTGGTGCAAAAGAAGACATCTGTATTGCATTCAAGTTATTGAGACCGTACGGGATGAAGTAAAGAGATAAAACACGGAGACAGACTTACGATCAGTATTCCACCACCACCGAGTTGATGGAGGTGTCGTGTTATCTTCAGTAGTTGGTTCTAAAGCGAAATAGAAATACGTCAGGAATTTTCAGTGATGCTTGTTAATTTTCAATTTTCTTTAAATCCGAAACACGATAGTCTCAAACAATTTAATAATACTCGAAGTTTTAAAGGTTCATCTCATACAAATGACCAAACAAAAGGAGAAAAAAAACCTACATTTATATGAATTCAGGAGAAGATTTCCGATATTTAAACAAGTTCCAGAAAAAAATGTGCTGCACTTCAAATCGATACGGAGCAATACTAAATATTATCATCCAGTTCAATTTAATGTGTGTTCATTTTAATATTTGGTTGAGCTAGAACGAAGTAGACGCGTACAACATGAAGCTGAATCTCTTCTTGGGGGGAGGGGGGAATGGAGTCATCTGAGACCAAACAATTAAGTATTGGTGCAAAAGAAGGAATTGAAGGCATGTTTGCATTGCTTTCCTGGGATTGTGACCATATGGGATGACAAAGACAGACTTACGATCAGTATTCCACCACAATGTTGTTGGAGGCACCCAGGGATCATCAGTGACTGGTTCTAAATAGTGATTAAGGGTAAACATGTATATGAAGGAGAGCCCTGTGTCTTTGCACCTTACATTTCACTGGAAATTGAGAAGAGTTTCTTTCATATTCCTTTCTAGCTTGATCACACATTTATGCTAATATATTCTGCAGAGTAAGTTTGCGGACGGAAAATTTCATTATCATGATCATACTATTGTATAAATTATTCAGACCTGTAGTTGAATTGAAAAGACTCAGTTGGAGCTGAAATCCTCTTTTAGTGACTGAAGAATCAGTGGTGAACAGCATCCAACTTTTAGAGGCGTCTAATCTAAAAGAGTCAACACATCAAGAATATTTACGAGAAATGCATTTTAAGGGTTATATAAAGGACATTAAGTATTGAGAAGTCATTTTTATCTTTAACAAATATTACTCATATCTTTTCTTCCACATTCATATTTTATTTTAATTTTTATCCAATATTTTGTTGTTATTTTTAGCCGATGTTGCTGCATCCTTTTAAAAAAAAAAAGCTAAATATTCAATCAACAATAACAGTATATAATAAAATTGATTTACACAATATGTTACAACAGCAATTCAAAAAGAAACACATAGAAATAATTGAAAACATGAAAATATGGGGGTAAATCAACGAATAAAGATAAATTTAAAGGCCAAGTTTCATAAGCATAAATGCTTGAGTCGATAGCAGCCGATGTGGAATGACGTTTAAGTCTGAAATGTCGGTAATTAAATGATTAATAGAATAAATATGGTCAAACGTAACATAACTGTAGGTTTATTATCTTCAGGCTCGGTTAAGTCTTTTTTTTTTGGGGGGGGGAACCTTTTTTTGTTGGTTTCTTTTGTTTGAATCTATAATCATTTTATGCGCATCGTATCGCAGCAAAACTAACTCTGCCTTACGAAACATCAAGGTCACATATAATTCAGTATTGAATTAAAACAAAATTGTCTACAATATTGATACATATATAAGAAAGGGGCTGTACTGTAGACGAGTCAATTCATCTCTAAAAGAACGCATATAAAACAGTGAAAGCAGATATCATACACGATATATGAATTATATCTTATATGATATAAGACTAGAATAGGGTAGATAATTTTCATCACTTCATACGGACCTCATATCTGGTGGAAGGGAAGAACCTGACAGCTGAGCCAGCTGAACACTTCCAGGAGACGATGGCGATTCTCCAATCCCGATGGTAAGAAAATCCCAATAGTTTTCAAGGTCGAAATCCAGAAACTGAACAAGAACTTCATAATCTGAAGGAGCCGTGATGTACCAATTATAGCGGACGTTGTTAGTGTAATATGAAGGATAGTTTGGAGACGAGATGGTCTGGGTTACCCCAACAACGAGAGTCACATTCTCTTCTGTAAAACATTTGTTTGGAAATAATATAATGGTCAAGTCTGTTATGACAAAAGACTCTATTTCACCCTATCAACTGTTTTATAAGACTACTTATAAGGGTAATTGGCAAGATTTCTTTGGTAGGAGTTTTACACATTGATTTCAGTACTATCCTAAAGCACCTCATTCTTTTAGCCTATAATTTGAGTCACTGTTTATGTAATTAGATCGGCCCTCAATTCTACTTGGTCAAAAGAACAATATGACATAGGACATTTAAGATGCTGGACCAATGGATCGTAGGATCAATGGGACGTGGAATCAATGGAAAATGGGAGCAACTGGGCCTAGGACTGTGTGTAGGGCAATGAGATAAAAGACCAATCTGACATAGAGCCAATGGGACACAGGACATAGGAGAGTTGGGAGGTTGGAGCATAGTGACAATTGGCCCTGCAATTGGACATAGGACCGGTTAGACATAGGACCTTTGGGAGTTTGTACCATTGCGAGGATTGGTCCTTTAATGGGAGTTAGGACTAGTTGGACATAAATGACCACTGGCACGATTGTTCCTGGAAGGGGACATAGGAGCGATGGGATTTAAGAGCAATGCGATTTAGGACATATGGGACGTACAGCCATTTGGGGAAAACGTTCTTAACATTAAAACGTTCCAAAGCTTGTAACACTAGCGGCTCATGTAATGTGTCATATCACATTGCGAGTAAACACCTTCATGATAAGCAAATTTACCATGAATATATAAATTAAAAGTTACTAAAAGAAGAGCAGCTTGTTTAAAATCACTCTTTATCGGAGCCACTTTTTATCAACGTGTTGAGCGAGTGTAAGCTGAATTCGACTATGTACATTTATCCCCTTTAATCTTGGGTTGGATATAATCATGAATAATGCACAAGACATACGTACCACCTGCATAAGGCATTTCTCCTGTTGTGTCCCACCACCCTGTTGTAGGATCAGGGCCATCGGGCGTTGGTTCTGAGATACAATAATCAAAAACGTTTTAAACACGTATTTCTTTCCAATTTAAATCACTAATATGACCTGTTTGCTGAAATACAAGTGAAACATAAAGTTAAAACGACATAGGAACCAATGTTATCGTCAATATATATTCTCCATAAGTTGTTATACTTCCAAAAGTTGCCATTCTGTAACGCGTATAGAACACATATTTTGAACTTTCTCACACATTTCTGAAAATAACAAATACATGTATTTTGGCCAAAAAAATTAAAGGTAAATCAAGGTTATTAATACGAATTTGACGTTTTAGTTTTCATGCATTGGATACGTATACATTCATTGTTTACATATTTCGTGTCAAGAGCAATACAGTAGATCAATCGTGGTCTAGTGTATCCATCACCGGACTGTGGATCACATTGTTCGCGTTTCGAGTTTCGCCGCGGCTCTATCGTCCTTTGGCAAGGCATGAATCGACATTTCCACTCGCCATCCAGGAGTAGTAAATGGGTAGTTCGTATACGAATTCTCCTTTGAATCTATTGTGATCGCATGAGACGACGTTATGACAAACCAGAGACAGACTTACGATGAGTACTCCACCACCACCAAGTTGGTCGAGGTGTCCCGTTATCTTCAGTAGTTGGTTCTAAAAAAAGAGAAAAAAGTCAAAATATTCAGGAATGCTTCGTAATTCTAAATGTTTAAATCCGAAATTGAAGAATTCTGAAAAATCCAATTTAATATAGTATATGTCAGTTCAATTCAGCTTTACTTCTCTTGAATCTTTGTTGAGATAGAAATGAGCACACATATATATATATATATAACATGAAGTTGAATCCCTTCTTTTGGGAAAAAAAGGAGTCATCTGAGACCAAAAGGTTTAGTATTGGTGCAAAAGTGGGCAGAGAAGACGTATTTGTATTACTTTTTTGGCATTGCGACCGTATGGGATGAAATAATGACAAAACAGAGAAAGACTTTAATACGATCAGTATTCCACCACCACCGAGTTGGTTGAGGTGTCCTGTTATCTTCAGTAGTTGGTTCTAAAACCAAACAAAAATACGTCAGGAATTTTCAGTGATGCTTGTTAATGTTCAATTTTCTTTAAATCCGAAAAAGTATAGCCTTAAACAATTCAATAATATTCGGAGTTTTGAAGGTTCATCTGATACAAATGACCAACAACAAAAAAAAAAAACCTAAATTTGTATGAATTCAGGAAAAGATTTCCGATATTCAAACAAGTTCCAGAAAAACATGTGCTACACTTCAAATCGATTCGGAGCAATGCAAATTATTATCATCCAGTTCAATTTAATTTTTGTTTATTTTAATCTTTGGTTGAATGAGAACGAAGTAGACATGAACAACATGAAAAGCTGAATCTCTTCTTGAGGGGGGGGGGGGTGGAGTCATCTGACACCAAACAATTTAGTATTGGTGCAAAAGAGGGAAGACATGTTTGTATTGCTTTCTTGGGATTGTGACCATATGGGATGACAAAGACAGACTTATGATCAGTACTCCACCACCACCAAGTTGCTTTAGGTGTCCTGTTATCATCAGTAGTTGGTTCTAAAACCAAATAGAAATATGTCAGTCAATTTCGGGATTCTTTGTAATTTTGATTTTTCTTTGAATCTGAAAAATTATAGTCTCAATCAATTTAATAGTATTCGGAGTTTTAAAGGTTCATCTCACACAAATGTTAAGAAAAGAGGGGAAAAAAGGAACTGCACTTTTGGTAATTTAGGAGATGACTTCTTGAGAACTCCACAGAGTGGATTTGGCGCGATATAAGTTACATTATTATTTTATACAAACAAGTTCGAAAAATACATGTGCTGCACTTCAGATAGATGTGAAGTATTGTAAATTAGTACCATCCAGTTCAATTAATTTGTCTTCATTTCAATCTTTGGTTAAGTTAAAGATGAAGTAAATTTCTGGTCATGCGATTGCATTGTGAAAGAAACGGTGTGGAATAGACCAGAAAAGGTTGATCATCTAGCATATAAGAATTTGTGTGTATTTCAAGGTTCTGGAATCATCAAAATGATAAGAAATTTGGCCAAGTCTTGGTAAAGTCTTTTTTTTATTTGTATGTAGTCTTGGTTAAAGTTACAAACACTGTACACAGAAAGATGTATATGGGACTACACGAACACGTGGCGTAAAAATCCTACCCTGGATTTTTACGATGTTACATGCATGGGTGTCGATCGCGGGGGGGGGGGGATGGGGGATATATTTTAGGTGGGGGGGATGGCCTGTACAATCACCCCCCCCCCCCCAATAATTCACCACACAAAAAAACATAAAAATTAAAAGAAAAATTAATGATGAGAGCCCGATGAGATTAGTTAATGGTTATTACTCGCAAGATGACTATCAATATACACATTTTGCTATCTAATTTTCATAATACATACATATATAAATAGAAAACGAAGTAAATGAGACAACCGTATATGAGACAAGAATAAATTGAATTCTCGCTCTTACGGTTTCATCAGGAAGTGATGGAATTATTCAATTTATTCAATCAACAGCATTATAGAAATGCAGTGCGCCAAATGCGACATTAAGCGACGAGCTTAATGTTAAGCGCGAAGCGCAAAAGTGCAAAAAAAAGAAGTAGAGAGTGGGAGAGAGAGATAATGAGAGACAGAGAGGATACAGGCGCGTAGCCAGGGGAATCGCCCCCCCCCCCCGAAAAAAAAGAGAGAAAGAAGAAAGGAAGAGGACGTAGGAAGAAAAAGGATTAAGAGTCGAGAATGGTACGACGAATCGTCTTCTTTCTTTAATAATTTGATGAAACTTCAAAGCTTCCGCGCTTCGCGCTGGAGGGGGGTGACTGAATTCAGACAAGGATTAAGAGTCGAGAACGGTACAACGAATCGTCTTCTTTCTCTAATAATTTAATGAAACTTCAAAGCTTCCGCGCTTCGCGCGGGAGGGGGTGACTGAATTCAGACAAGGATTACGAGTCGAGAATGGTACGACGAATCGTCTTCTTTTTTTAGTAATTTAATGAAACGTCACAGCTTCCGCGCTATGCGCGGAGGAAGGGGAACTTGATTCAAGCAAGGATTAAGAGTCGAGAACGGTACAACGAATCGTCTCCTTTCTCTAGTAATTTAATAATACATCAAAGCTTCCGCGTTTCGCGCGGGAGGGGGGAACTGAATTCAGACAAGGATTAAGAGTCAAGAACGGTACAACGAATCGTCTTCTTTCTCTAAAAATGTAATAAAATATCAAAGCTTCCGCGCGGGAGGGGGTGAACTCCCCCTCCCTGTACCCACCCCGCAAGGGAGCGCGCTTCGCGTGCTCACTACCGCCCCCTAAAATAAAACCCTGGCTACGCGCTTGAGAGGATAATAACCCAGGTAGCAAGCCCATGTGGGGCCCACATGGGTCCCATATTCTCTGAAATGTTATCTTTATTGACGGTGACTTGAAAAAGTTAATAACCTGGAAGGGAGGGGTGTAACCTGCCACACGCTTCTACCTCTTGGTTGCTTTGAACCATTGCCGAAAATATTTTGGCACCTATCATCCCCCCCCCCCCAACCACGGATACAAATCGACACCCCTGGTTACATGTACATGACATGTTTAAAATATGAAGGCATTTGGAGAGCCATGCTGTTCAGGGAACATGTCTTATCTGATGTTCTTCCACACTTGCATAATAAGAATGATAACGCTCACAAATTATTTGTCACCTCTTCCCAGAACTCAACCTTCTCTTTAAGCTATAATAAAGTCCACATGTTTAACATGTAGCTAAATCTCTTGTTTTGGGGAAAAAGAGTCATCTGAGACCAAAGGATTTGTTTTGGTGCAAAAGAAGTATTTGCTTTCTTAGCATTGCGACCGTATGGGATGAAGTAATGACAAAACGGAGACAGACTTACGATCAGTATTCCACCACCACCGAGTTGGTTGAGGGGTTCTGTTATCTTCAGTAGTTGGTTCTAAAAAAACAAATTAAAAAATGTCAGGAATTGTTGGTGATTCTTGGTAATTTTGATTAATTTTTTTTTAATCCGAAAAATGAAAGTCTCAAACAATTTAATAGTATTTGGAATGTCGAATGTTCATCTCAAACAAATGTAAAGAAAAAAGAGGGAAAATGCACTTCTGGTAATTTAGGACAAGACTTCTGATATTCAAACAAGTTCGAGCAATACATGTGTTGCACTTGAGATCGATTTGAAGCAATGTAAATTAGTATCATTCAGTTCAATTAATTTTGCTTCATTTCAATCTTTGGTTAAGCTATAACATGAAGCTGAATCCCTTCTTTGGGGTAAAACGGGTCATCTGTAACCGAAGGATTTGTTTTTGTGCAAAAGAAAGCAGAGAAGACGTACATGTTTTGTTTTCTTGGTAATGTGACCATTTCAGGATAAAATAATGTCAAAACAGAGACAGACTTACGATCGGTATTCCACCACCACCAAGTTGGTTGAGGTGTCAAGTTATCTTGAGTAGTTGGTTCTAAAACGAAATTAAAATATGTCTAGAATTTTCAGGGATGCTTATTAATTCTGAATTTATAAAGCCGAACATTGATAATCCGAAAGAAAATATAATAGACGTCAAAATTCTGAGGGTTCATCATTCAAAGAAGAAAAGAAATGTAGAGAAGATGAGAGTGAAAAAAAGAGGAAGTTCGCCCCCCCCCCCGCAACAACAAAAAAAATAATAATAATGAATAATCTCTAATTTTAGAAGAAGACTTCTGATATTCAAACAAATTCCACAAATAGATGTGCCGCACTTCAAATCGATTCGGAGCAATGGAAATTAGTATTATTCAGTTCAATTTGGTTTTACTCTATTTTAATCTTTGGTTGAGCTAGAACAAAGTATAACATAAAGCTGAATCTCTTCTTTGGGAAAAAGAGTCATCTGAGACCAAAGAGTTTATTTTTCCTGCACAAGAAAACAGAGGAAACATATATATATATATATATATATATATATATAAATATTTCATGGTATTGCTACATTATTGGATGAAAACGAAACCAAAATACGTAACTTAGTATCATCCACTTCAATTAAGTTCGACTCCATTTCAATCTTTAATTGAGCTAGAACGGAGTAAAAATGAAGCTGAAAGTCTTCAACCTAAACGTAGCTTTAGGAAAAGAGTACATTAAATTATTTTGAGAAAGGTATCAAAATAGCACCTTATGTGATGATAACAACAACAACACTTATAATAATATATATATCTAATAATAATTAGAATAATGCTTATGTTAATGATAACGATAGTAATAATGATTTGGTTTTATTTACCAAGGGTACTATTTCAGTTACATTACATCTCTTTCGTGACCCTGTAATTAGTATTACCCGATTTTCCCAAGCAGTGTTAGGTATCCATTATATACAACTATATCGAGAGGGAAATCAAATGGCAAAACGCTAGGTCTAAGGATGTAATCACTGAACAATGATCGAACCCGGAAACTTTTGTAAGAGAGTCAAGAGCCTTCACCAATGTACCACAGTGCCCCCACCACATTTGTTTGACTCACCCGGTTCAGATTGGTAAGTAGTAGGGTTGTAAACTTCCGTCGTTGTTGGCATTTCTTCTGCAAAAATATGATGACAGGAGACAAAATTAATCACGACGTAGCTAAAAGAATTTTTTTCATTAAACTTCTGATTTATACCTAATAAAGTAGGCATTTCGTTTTAAACCGTGCTCATGACGGGTTGAGGCTTAGGACAATGAAGCAGACAAATCATTAGTTTAATCTATAATTTCAAGAAAAGGTTTATTCAAATATTTAAGACAAATAATAATGAAAGCTTTCACGGTGAATTTACTATCAACATTCAAAAGAGACTTATTTAGTATGCCTACCATCAATTAACTTCCAGAGAAAGTGTCTTACGGTATATTACGAATGATCATGTGTCATTTAATTACCCTGGCTTTAACAAACCTACCATGATGAGACTCTTAGGCATTCTGTAAATTCTAACTTTTCTCTCTTGAAAGCCTAATAAAACAAATGGGGTTAAACAATTTTGGTGTGCTTTTTCTTTTTTGTAACAATAAAGAATAAAGAAAAGCGAAAGGAAAAATAATAGGTTAATGAATTAAAGAAGAAGGATAGTTGTAGCCTGAGTGGGGCCTCCTGTGGAGAATATATTTTATTTCTGGAACACACTTAGGGGGACGCGTTTTCTATATTCAACCAACGGTCCACCTGTTACTAATTCAGTTAAACCAAACCCGGGTTTAGGATTACGTTTGACGAAGGAAAAAGGTAGACCTTGGATTAACTTCATTATAGTTATTGCACCATATTTTGAACAAAATGGGATTAAATTTCTAAACAGAATATGGGGAATGTGTTCTTAAGATTCCCCCATGTCCCCTCCCCGTGGATCAGCCACTCTCATGACGGTGTATTCGAAATGCGAATCAGATACAAACCTTGATACACATGTATGCCATGTGGATTTTGGAAAGTGCTGTGGTAGTAGAAACTGTAACCGCTGCCATTGCTGGTTGAAGTTACACCAATTGCATCATAAATCCAATCCGTCCATATTATAGTGTCGTCGACGACTGCTAGGTCGTAAGGATGAATCGACGATGTCGCCAGGTGAACCATTCTGTCGTTGCCCCAGAGGTCGACGGACTCGATTTTATCGGTTCCAGCGTCGCACCAGTAGACCCGTGTACCTAGGCATTGATTCACGAAACCGTAATAAGTACATGTTCACCGATATCTTATTGAAACGTGTCCCAATCTAAATACACGCGTTCAATGGGATATGGGCGAGCGTGCATGACAATTTCGCGAAACGATGCCCTGATGGTTGATATAAATATTAATTCAGTTCATAATCATTAATACGTTATTGTTTACTCTGAGTGGGATAAAACTAAATTCTTATCTGCTCGAAAGATTTACAATAGATATTTCAAGAAAATAATTTTATCCTCATTATGAAAGAGTTTTATATCTGACTTAAAATATCATAATTGCCAACTTGTAATTTGTTGAAGAAAAAAACTCCCAAGGACAATTAATCCTCGGAAAATGACAATCCCGAAAATGACAATTCGGAAAATGATCACCCTAGGATAATCACCCCTTAGAAAAATTACCCCTGAGGTTAATTATCCCCTCAGGACTCATTTGCTTGCGTATGTACGGATGTGAATGAGCGCATCTGTTAAGTTACTTAAGTGTAGCGCCATGGTGAAACGTAGATTTTTTCTTCACATAAACTCACAATGCCGATGTTGTTATTGATGTACGACTTGCACGTACATATATGAATACATATACAAGTATCATATATTGAGAATAATCCAACCCAGTTGGATGGAAATCATGTTCATTTGCTTTTACCATCACTCAATAAGGGTCATTATTTATCACCAAGGTCCGCGGTAAACTTGACTAATTCATCAATCCAGGGGATAATCTTTTTAAAGTATTATTGGTCGGAGGGTAATTTTCTAGATGATAATCAAATGTCCCAGGGGTAATTGTCCTAGGGGTGATTGTCCAGGGCTTATTTTCCTAGTGGTTATTGTCCTTGGTGTATTTGTCCTTGAGAATTCTTGTCCAAGGAGGATTCTTGTCCTAAGAGGACAATTGTCCTAGGTGTTAATTGTCCTGAAGTGTAATTTTTCCGGGGGAGGGGTAGTATTTTTCTCGATGCTAATTGCCCGGATGATCTTCTCGCGGGGTAATTGTCCTTGAACTGAATTCGGTAGTGTACTATAATATTTTGAATGATTTTGTGACACATATTTATTTCAATAAATTAACAAAATTATCCACTTAATTTGTTTTTTAATTGTTTGATGTTCAATGTAATCCTTACCGTCAGCGTTTAATGCCAACCCATTGGGATATATGATGCTAGAGTTGACAATGACGTATCTGTCCCCGCCATCTAGATTTGCTCTCTCGATTCGACTTGGGGCACTCCAGTCCGTCCAAATCATCACTCTGTGTAAGGGGAGAGAATAATACTGATAGCAATACTACTACTACTACTACTACTACTACTACTACTACTAACAATAATAATAATGCAACAACAACTACTAGTACAACAACTGATAGTACTACTACTAATACCACTTCTCCTACTACAAGGCTACTACTACTACTACTACTACTACTACTACTACTACTATTATCACTACTTATACCACTTATACTACTACTAGACTACTACTGGTACTACTGCTACTGCTTTTGTTGACCAAGGAAATTCTCCTCAGCTTCAATGCTGTTCTTTCTAAGTGCCCGGCGATAGTTATATATTCACAGTGCCAAATGTGTATTTATGACTCGCCAGAGGTCATTAGTGCAGGGTAATAATTCGAACCATTGACTATTAGATTGCGATTCAAGTGAATTGAACTACTAAATCACAACACCTAATGCCCTTTGACATCTCCGTGGAAATTTGTTGAAAGTATTAAAAAAAGTTTAAAGAGTATTAACACAATAGGGAAATGAATGAAAATTTAAAACAATTTTTGCAAATTAATCCGTACATGTACAGCGTTTTATCATCGCAGGCATCGGAAGTGTCCAAAAAACCAAATGTTTGACACTTTGACTTTTCATTTTGGAATATGAACACTTTAGATGGCGTCAATAAACCCATAAAAGATAATAGAGCTCAGCATAGCCCAGTATAAAGTATTCATTTAATCACCTATTTGTTGAGCCACAATGAAGTTACTTAAAAATAAGCTAAGTCGACTTTCCTTTTCCGACTTCTTTCGTTTGCAATTCATGTAAATAGCATCCTATATAAAGCCAGAAGGGCATAAAATAATAAATTAACAGAAACTTAAGGCCCTTCTATAGCTCCGAACCGATGATCTGAATATCACACCAGGAAAATTGATGGATGCAGAGGAGAGGGAGAGAAATAGTAATTTAAAGATTGGCGGGGATAAAGAAAGGGAAACAAAAGAATAAAGAGAGAGAGAGAGGCTGTTCACACCGCAAGGGGGGACCGTGGGCGGACCGTGGATCGCATTATCGTAGCGCGACCCACGGTCCGCCCATTGGCATTAATTTGCCGGATTCACACCGCAGTGAATCTATCGTAGCACCCCCTTTTTTGAGAGGTCCTGTTGCCATGACGCGTGACGTCATTAGGTCAGAGCGGTCAAATACTTCGCGCGCTATTACGAGTGGGAGTGTTGAGTTGAACCGATTCAGATTCAGATCGCACCAAAATAGAACGAGTATAAAATTCCCCGCGTGTAGAACAATAACTTCCGGCGTGCTATCGTAGCTCGGGTTCACACCGGCAGAGATAACGCGGTCTAGAGCGCGCTAGACCGCGCTATCTCTCGTGGACCACCCCTAATGCTAGGAGTCCACTGGGCCAGCACCAGTTGGTGCCAGTTCGCGCGAAAGATTATGTGATTGGCGCGTAGTGGCTCGCTGTGGCGCCGAATTAATGTCCGCTCGGCATGTGTCGCCAAGTGGAATAAACTGGGTGCCATATGGCGTGCGCCAAATGCCACCCGGCTTGCTCCAAAATGTTGCGCCAGTTTGCGCCATTACACGGCCAATTGATTCCAAAATTCACCCTGCTGGCGCCATTCGCGCCAATAGACGGCTACTTTGCGCCACTTGGTGATTAGTTTGTGCCAAAGGTCGCCAAATTGGTTTGAACTTGCCGCCGCTTGGCGCTACTTGCCGACTATATAAATACCGGCCATCGGCTACATGGTTCAGACCCTCCTCAGCTGCTGTATGAACAACATCTCTACTAAATATTTACAATTTAATATGTCATTGGCGCAACTTGGCGCGCGCCATTACATTCCAGTGGATTCCAATAGGCGGATTGTTTGCGCCAAAGGGCGATATGTTCGCGCCATTTGGTGCCACTTGGCGGACACTTGGCGCTGATTGCTCGATGCAAGTGGCGCGACGAAAATTTCAAACATTTTGAAATTTTCTTGCCGCCACATTCAAATTTGGTGCCGTTGCGGGCCACCACGAGCCAGTTGGGAGGCAGTTTGAGCCACTACACCCACTAGGCACCTTATTGGCGACACTAGGCGCCACAGTAAATTGCGTTGGCGCAAACTGGCACCAACTGGCGCTTGCCCAGTGGACTCCTAGCATAAGAGGTGCTCCAGTGGCACGCCGTTTTGGCTCGCCGTGGCTCGCTGTTGGGCGGACCGAAACGACGTTGTACCTTCCACACCGCAGAGATAGCGCGCGCTAGACCGCGCTATCTCTGCCGTTGTGAACAGACCGCGCTATCTCTGCCGTTGTGAACAGCCTCAGCGATTGGGAGAGATGAAGATAGACAGTTGTGTGTGTGATCGAGAGAGAGAGAGAGAGAGGGGGTGTGAGTGCTAGTGTGTGTGTGTGTGTTTGTGATAGAGGGGGTTAGAAAATATTTACCCTTCTACTTGGTGTACGATGATTGCGCGTGGACTCTCTAAGTCGGTATTGATGAGAATTTGCTGAGAGGATCCGTCAAGATTAGCCGACATGATTCGGTCTAGGGTTTCATCGGTCCAAAAGACTTTACCACGACTGGTATCCAACGCTAGGTTTTCTGACCCTGTGAAGAAAGACGATGACATAATAAGGAGGAGATTAATAAAAAAGAAAGATGAAAAAGAGGACGATGGTTATGATACGGATGAGAGGAAGGGTCGAATCAAACAAATAAAGAGCACCAAGAAGGCATTGGGGGAAAATGACGAAAAAGATGAAGATTTAAGAATAAAGAAGAAGTTACAGGACATTCCCCAAAAGCAAGAACATCAGCATCAAAAAAGAGAAACAAAATGAAAACAACAAGAAGAACAATCAGACGTAGAAGGTAAAGCAAACAAGTCGAAAATTACAAAGGAAAAGTAGAAGGAAAGAAGAAAAAAATAGAACAACATGAAATAAAAGAACAAACAAAACTAAAACAAAACAAAAATCAAAACAAAGAAACACAAAAACGGCATATTGTAGGTCTTTTTTTTAAACAATGGTTTTTTAATTTTTCTCATAAAGAAATTTTAAACTGAAATGCAAATCTTAAAAAGGAAAGAGAAATCTTAGCTCAAAAATACTCACTGCCGACAATACTGCTATTGACGATCACGCTTTGCATAGTGCCATCGATATTCGCGCGTCGTATGGATCCTGACGTTTCGGTCCAGTACACCATGCGAGTATCGGGATCGTAATCGACGCCTATCGGTTGAGAGACGGAACCGAAGGGCAGAGCATCGAAGTTTAAAGAGTCGAGACTGTCGCTGGAAAAGTCGGCCATGTATATTGCCCCTCTTGAATTGTCAGCTACAAATACCATCGATTCCGCTATACATGAGAGAAAAACAAACATGGAGAAGGTTTATCGTACATCATGTACAGTTCAAACTCACACAGAAGATTTTGAATAACAGGGCCGTGCCTTTTTGATGAAGTGATTCATTCGTATAAAACATGGTCAAATTCGCGTTCAAGATAAATAGTTGCGCTTGATCTAGATTGATCACAGGTTCTCAAAAATCGCTAACTTACACAATCTTATCTCTTTGGTACACAGCCACCGGGCATGGTGGCTCAGTGGTTAGAGCGCCCGTCTCATGAACGGGAGGTCGTGGGTTCGAACCCCGGCAGAGTTATATCAAAGACTTATAACAATGGGACCTTCTGCCTTCTATAGCTAGGCGCTCAGCATATGAGAAGGGTAGTAATGACATGTTATGTTATGCAGGGCCCGCTGGAAGAGCAGTTTCATAACTGAGGTGCCTACCCTGTGAAAATTATTATTATTATTAAACATGTCAGTTTCAATACGCTCTTGAGCAGTGTGATGCGCTTTGGCACCTCTTAGTAGGAGACCAGCCTGTAGGTCCCGTTACCAATCTCTGGAAACAAAGGTTTGAAAGTATTTTTGTGTTCCCTGATGAATACCGAACAATTTTGAATCGGGCTGCCCCCTTGAAAATCCCGGGCATTTTCGTGAGGGGCCAACAAAGGTCAAACAGGGGTCGAAATTCAAATATATTCAAGTCGTGTCAATATGCATATCAAATTACTCGTCTGGTCATGAGGATTCCAAAAATGTATAGTTTGCTATACCTCCGACCTAACATGAGGGCGCTATGGTCAAAAACGCTGAAAGGTCAACGCACTTTTGACCGGTCGTCAAATTCACCAACACTGTTAATCTTATCAAATTGCATATTAAATTACTCGTCTGGTCATGAGGATTCCAAAAATGTATAGTTTGTTATATCTCCGACCTTAAATAAGAGCGCTATGGTCAAAAAGTTCAATGCACTTTAGACTGGTGGTCAAGTTCACCAACACGTCCGATTCTAATGATTTTAGTGTCTAATAATATGTTTTCTGACATAACTAATTCAACTAAGCAACTTTTAAAATCAAAAGTGGTTGCCATAACCTTGAAAATTCCCCCAAACCCATGGATAAGAAGTTGTTAAATGTTTGTCACCGAAACGGCAGCCATTTTGAATTTGTATGGTCAAGGTAAGCCCTTTTACTTTTGAAAGTTGTATAGTTGAATTCGCCACATCAGAAAACATATAATTATACACTAAAATCATTAGAATCGGACGTGGTGGTCAACTTGACCACCAGTTTAAAGTGCATTGACCTTTTTGACCTTTCATGAGGATTCCAAAAATGTATAGTTTGTTATACCTCCGACCTTAAATAAGAACGCTATGGTCAAAAAGGTCAATGCACTTTAGACTGGTGGTCAAGTTCACCAACACGTTTTAATTTTTTTCTGGACGGCAATATCGTCTTCTAGTGAGATGGGGGTATTATGAAATTCGCAAGCGAAGTTTCCTCATTATCAATGCATGACACAGCAAAAATAACAGAATTTAATTATTTCGAAATTTGTATTGTTATAAACTTAGTAAGAGTATAGTGTTGTTGTTATTATTATTAACAATATTATTGATACTAGTAAGTTTCCCCAAGGAAGAGTATATTTGTAGAAAAACATACCTGTCATGTTACCCGTCTCAGGCGTAGTCACACTTGTATCTATTGGTAGGGAGAGAAAGGGAGAGAGAGATACAAAAAAGGGGAAGGAAAGACAGAAAGGAGGATAAAGACAGGTAGAGAAAGAGAGAGAGAGGGAGAGAGAGAGAGAGGGGGAGAGTGCGGGCAAGAGGAAGAGGGGAGACAATTAAACACAACTAAAATCATCGTGTTAAAGATTAACATTCATAAAATTCATGCCAATACTATTGGAAGAAGCGGTTCATATCAAATCAAATAAAAACAAATATTTCCCACTGTAAAACAACACAAATAAACATCAATGACGAATTATTGTTCTAAACAAAAGTTGCGTGGTCATAGAAAGTACACAAAGGGTTTTTTAAAAATATCCCTTATCAGGTCCGTGTAGTTTAAAAGTCAAATTGCAATGCGATCATCATAGAGTGACTAACGATGGTAAGGCTTTGCGTATGATATTGAATTGCATGTCCTCAGCACACTCTAGACACCTTGTTGCTGTATTGTGTCTCGTAGATACGGAACCGGACTATTTATCGCATGGTTCGCGGTTCGAGTCCGGCCAGGCAACTGAGCTCATTTGTAAAGCCATTAATCTACATTTGCCACACTCCCCTAGGTGTAGGAAATGTTTACCCGGTTGAAAGAAATTCCCATAACTTTTAAAGGTAAACCAACATTATAAACAAATTGCTCTTGAAGAAGAGAGGGGGAAATTCTTGGGTATAACAAATACAGTTAATGTCGTACCAGGGAGTTGAAACTTCCTGGTCGTAACAAGTCAGTATGAATTTAAAAGGTTAATTGTCAAAAAGAAAAACCTCAACGTTCTAGAAATGTGATTTTCTCTTTGAAATTCAGATACCGTCCGCCAAATGACTTTTTAGTTTCCTCTCTTCAAATTCATTTCAATCACTCATGCTTGAAATATGCATCATATGAGTTGCATCAGATGAAATAAGAGGATCTGAGCTTTCCAAATATGTGTCATTCAGTAATTATAAATGTGACTAAGTTATGATAAAACATCGATACTTCTCGGTTTCGTTTTTTCTGGGACGCACTGTATAGGCAGGCTGCGCTTATATTTAGGTTATTTTTAGTACATGTTTAATGAGAAACCATTTTAAAGGGGAACACAAAATGCGGTCTTTATGGACAGGTGCTCTTTCAATACAGGTGCTATCTAAGGTTTGCATTAGTAGTATTAGTAGCAGAAGTAGTAATATCGTTAAACGTACGCTAGTACATTCACGATACTAAGCTATGGAATATTTACAAAAACAAATGTAACAGAAACATTGATTGCCATGACCTACCTATCGTGCAGGATATAACCTGCGACATCGCAGGGGACCAGTAGTCGGGTGATCCCGAGTAACAGTAAGAATAGGTCGCACCATTTGAAGCTAAATAACCGGTAGGACATGAGAACTGTGCGTACGTCCAAGGTGTGTAATTCGCTTGATCCGGGTCTATTATGACGTTCGAACCGGGATTGGGACGCGAGCAATCTGTTATGAAGTTAAATGGAAGGTCGGTTGAGGGGGAATTCAGCGAAATTTAACTAAAGTCAACGCACAGACTCGCACTAATTCTTGAAAGAGAGTGCGTCATAAAAGGATTTAGCACGATCGCAAAGGGCAAATTCAATAGTCTATTGTGACCCACATAAATCATGTTTGGTTTATCCAATACGTCATTTTAAAGTTCGAATATTTTAAAAGGTAATGGACAATGCTTTTGAAATTTTCTGAGGTTTTGCTAACGTGATATATATTTTGTCTTTATTTCATTTTCTCAATTCATGTCCGAAATGGTAAAAAAAAAATGAATTTTTATTTGAATTTGGGTTTAAAGATAAAGACAAGTTATGGTCATGCGATTGCATTGTGAAAGAAACGTTGTGGAATCGATCAGAAAAGGTTGATCATTTAGCATAATAATTGTGTGTACCAGGCGCGTACGCAGGATTTTTTCAGGGGGGGGGGGGTTAACATTTTTAAATCGGGCCGAAAATTTCGCAACGACTCAGCCAGCCGCTGAATAAGCGGGGGGGGGGGGGGGAGGGGGTCTCGAAATTTGAAAAAGCGACATTTTGCTCCGTCGTGGGTTTTTTTAGGGGGGTTTACACACATAAAAATACCAAAGGGGGTTCAACCCCCCCCCCCCCCCCCGCGTACGCGCCTGGTGTGTACGGCAAGGTTCTGGAATCATCAAAATGATAAGAAATTTGGCCCAGTCTTCGTAAAGTTACAAGCACTGTACACAGAAAGATGTATATGGGACTTCGTACACGTGCGCGACACGTGCGTTTATCTCTCAAACACCAATAGATAAACTAATTTACCAAATATATCAATTAGTAAGCGGTTTCCCGGCAAAAAAAATTATCATCATGTATTTCTCAAAACATATTCTTTCACATGATTGGTAATAAGAGCTTCCATTTCATTTTTTTAAATTGGGGCGTTTCCAATACTGCTCTTTACCTTTAAGTTCGAATTTAGAATATGAATTTTAAATTTCAATTGAAATCTAGATAATGACACCTATAAGATATCAAGTAAGAAAAAACATTGTACAACAATAATAAAAGTAAGTCATTCATTATGATTTGTCACATTCTGAATCAATATTTTATTCAACTTGGAATTTTTATTATTTTGCATATTTAAATTGTAACGGACTAATATTTGAACTAGAAATGAAAGCGTATAATACATAAAACATCATCAGCCATATTCAAACAAACAATCCAAAATTCAAATGACGAAATATCCGGATTTCTTACCTTGTAGAGATGGAGCACATTGTAAAAGAAGACAAAAAAGAAAGGATAACACGAATTCTTTCAGATTTGCCATCCTTAAAACAGGACCCCGGAATGGGTATGAGATTATAAACCTGACTGTTTAATAACGACTATGCGGCAAATGCCAAGTTGCTTGGAGAATTTTTTTTGTTTTCGGTATAGTATATTTTACTGCTGATCGTCTTGAACACCTTCTGCTTCCGAAGAAAATGGCTGAATGAAGAAAGGAGGAACTAATTATGGCATTAAATTGCCTTTCAAATCGAGAAATAAAAAAAAAGCTATGACGCAAACACTTATATTACTTTATGATTATGCCCATCATAGATTGCAAACGTTTTTGTTGACATTCAGAAGCAGATAACATTTACCCCGTTCCGACTTATCAGCCCGAGGATGGAAACAGAAGTTGATTTTCTCACATACGTATTAGCATTTCGGGTGGCTAAGTTGCAATTCATAATGTTTTCGAAAGTTCAATGTTGAGAATGAGGCGATACGAATAAGAGATAAAAGAGGTAAACTATTAATATTTGAAGTTAATGCTTGCTTGTATAACCTATGTCTGTGTTTACTTAATGAACAGTGCGTAAAGAAGAAAAGTATACTCATTTCTGTGTAGCCTCTGATTGATGAGTTATAACGTCTGGTACCTTAAATTACATTTCAATGTAAAAATGGACTAATAACCTGTCTAATGATACCATTTTCATAATTGTCCTGCCAAGGATGACTTTTTTAAAAGTATTGAAAAATGTTCTTGTACCAAATTTGGGCTGAAGCAATGAACGTGGGTCAAAATCTATTATGTGTGTGTGTGTGTTATCTCATTAAAAAACAATTGGCTCCTTTATTTCATTGACTATAGTATTAGGCAGTTGGCAAAAGGGGTTAATATCGACTCAAACTCAAGAAATACTTAGTACAGGCACGATTTATGATATTCTCTTTGTTATGATTACAATCCTGACTTCATTCGCTTCCCTTGTTTAATGTAACCTTATCCTTGAGTGATACAAAAATGGATAAATTTTATTTTTGATGTTTTCTTTTTTATGAAATTCCGCTGTCAATTTTTTTTTATATTTGTCATCACATGTTCATCACGTGTTCTTCTTGCAATTGGGTTTAGTAACTACTGAGTCTTTATTCGATATTTGAGATGAACACATTATGCTTCTAAAGCGTATGAAATGGCGCAGTGGACGAATGAGCAGACAGAACTTAGATACCATGAGACAAGAAGTTAGTAGGCTGTCTAAAATAGTTAAGGTTTATCATGTGGATTGAGACAAGCTTGTGTCAAAGCCTAAGTTAAATTGCATTAATTGTTTTAATACGCACTGTGTACATGAGATAATGGACAATTCATACTGTTTCTTTACCTTTTGCGTCTTTTTAATACAGTGCATATAAATGGGAGGTAAAGAGAAAATGCCATTATCGGTAATTTATAACATCCACTTAACATAGTTAAAACCGCAGTTGGAAATGAATGATATGCAAAATAGTAACGTTTCATGCAATTCAAAAATAATATTTGCTTAAATAGGTATTGTATTGTTAAAGTACAATGCGTCTATATATTCACACACACATGATATCATTCTCATTCTCATTCTCTTTAGATTAACCCCTAGAATGCCATATTGGGAAGGATAAGCAAGCTCAGGAGTGGTAGCTTCGTCTTGCCAACCATAATGACTGGTCGAGTGGATACGTCGCCGGACTGTAGATCACAAGGTCCGCGGTTCGAGTCCCGCCGCCGCACTAATATCCTTTGACAAGACATTGATCTACACTTGCCACACACCACCCAGGTGAAGTAAATGGGGACCTGGAACGAATTTATTCCTTGAAACGCAGCGCGCGTAACAGCTGTACTGCTAAAGTCAGGATAATTATGCTGCATTATTGTAGAGCGCTTTAGAGACTACTGATACAGTAAGTGTTAGGCGCTATATAAGCAATTATAATTATTTATTCTAATTTGTATTGGGTAGGATTTGTCCACTGATATATATATAACGCTAAGTATCAACTTCTTCTCTTAAAAGTTATTATACTTTTCGTAATTGATTATCTAATAATGAAACAAAAATCATGTAAATATGGGGATACCAATTATCTTTCTTAGCTCGAGGCTGGATCCATTACGAATTTGCTAATGTTTGCTGCAATTACGATATTAGCCCATTGCATACAAGATATCCATTTACACATAGGTGGAGAGTGGCAAAAGGGGGAATTTAAGACCTGCCAAAGGATGTTAGTGTCCGGCTGCGATTCGAACCCTCATCCCTTGGATTGACAGTCGAGAGATTGAACCCTGCCCCCTGTTATCATATAGTGGAGAACGAAATACAGACTGCGTCATGTGTCAATACACAATTCATCTCACAAAGGATCGAGCCCGGTTCTCCATAAACAAAATACCCCTACAATGAAATGTCTTTTTTTTAATACAAATATTTATTTTGAACTAGTTATTTACAGCACAATTTCAGCTAAAAATATATATTAAAATCCGAAAAAACACATTTATATTTAATAAATATTCGTACATTTGTTCGTGTTAAATTCTAAATGAATATGTATTGGGGTATTCAAATAAACACAATATAAACTACGTTACGTGTGAATAAACAATTCATCTTACAGAGAATCGGGCTTGGTTCTCCATCAGCATATATATACCTCTACAATTGAAGAACGTTTCAAAATTCAAACAATTATGTTGAACTTGTTATTTACAGTACAATTTCAGCTAACATATCTGAACATTCGAAATAAAATATTTATATTTCATAGATATTCGTACAATGTATTCGTCTTACATTCTAAATTATCATGTAGTGGAGTTAAACAATTAACACAAAATATTAAATTATGAAAGCGCGATGTCATAATTCAATCAAAAAATGTGTCCCTTACTGCTCAGGGTTTCGTCATGATCTCGAATTAGAAGCTTCGAGTTCAAGAAAAACTCGACCGCATTTGTCCAGATAACCCGGATTTCGAGACTAAGAGGCTAGGCATGCTATGGTGGGAAACATAGGCGCCGGAAGTGGGGGGGCAGGGGGGGCAGTTGCCCCCCCAGTCAAAAAAGTGGGGGGGCAAAACGCATTTTTGCCCCCCCAAAACGCCCCCCCCCCCCCCTCCAAAAAAAAAAAAAAAAAAAAAACAGTAAAGGCTTGTATTTTTAATCCAAAAGAACGTAACAATAATAAAAACCTGAATTAAATCACATATACAATTCCATTCGAAGAAACGGAAAGTTCACAGGAATTAAATTTCATAAACATTGCGCATGCCACCTATACGGTATTTATCAATGGAGGTCTCTATAATAGCGATACGCGCATATCGTGGACATATTGTGCGAGAATGGGAAAGCGTGCCCGTTTTTTTTGTTATAGGGGTGAGAAGACATGAGCCCCTGAACGCTGGCGTACTGATGGGGGGGGGGGATGATGTATTTCTTATTCGAAACAATTGATTTACAAATGTTGATGTTGTGACATGATTTTCCGGCATTTTTTCTCCATTTCTTTTGTAAGTCATACCTTTTTATGCGTTTGTTGGAAAATAAGAAATTCCCAAATTACAGTCAGGCGAAATACGCTAATTTAGAAGCCTTTATGTCATGGTCTGCAAAGTGGCTGGGCTCGAGCCCCCCCCCCCCCCCTCTCCTTTTTGAAAAAGTATGTTAAAGAAAAAAAGAAAGAAAGACGGAGAAAAAAATAAGTGACCTGCCAATGTCACAAATAAGGTATAAAAAATGCTCATCTGACCGTAATTAAATGCTTAAAACCCCAGAGCTTACGGGGGCTCCGCCCCCGGACGCCACCAAGGGACCTAAGGCGGGCCCCTGGATGCTCATCTGACCGTAATTAAATACCTAAAACCCCTGAGCTTCCGGGGGCTCTGCCCCCTGGACCCCACCAAGGGCCCTAAGGCGGCCCCCTGGATGCTCATCTGACCTTAATTAAATACCTAAAACCTCTGAGCTTCCGGGGGCTCTGCCCCCTGGACCCCACCATGGGTCCTAAGGCGGGCCCCTGGATGCTCATCTGACCGTAATTAAATACCTAAAACCCCTGAGCTTCCGGGGGCTCTGCCCCCTGGACCCCACCAAGGGCCCTAAGGCGGCCCCCTGGATGCTCATCTGACCTTAATTAAATACCTAAAACCTCTGAGCTTCCGGGGGCTCTGCCCCCTGGACCCCACCAAGGGCCCTAAGGCGGGCCCCTGGATGCTCATCTGACTGTAATTAAATACCTAAAACCCCTGAGATTCCGGGGGCTCTGCCCCCTGAACCACACCAAGGGCCCTAAGACGGCCCCTGGATGCTCATCTGACCGTAGTTAAATATCAAAACCTCTGAATTTCTGGGGGCTCTCCCCCCCCCCCCTTGGAACACGTCAATTGCCTTACAGAGGGCCCCTGGATGCTCATCTAACCGTAAATAAATACCTAAAACCCCTGAGCTTCCGGGGGCTCAGCCCCTTGACCCCCTGCCGAGGCTCATTCCCTGGACCCCACGCCAATTTACGCTCTACCTGATCGATAATACTCCACTTTGAAAAACGTTCCGCGGGACCTGCATGTAACGTGTAAGACTGGTGGTGATGCAGATTTTTCGTGTGCCCCCCCCCCCTTCCGAACTTTTTTTCTCATTACGTCACTGCCCCTGGAATGTGAGCCCCCTGGAATGTTTGCCCCCCCAGTCCCAAACTGCTTCCGGCGCGCCTGGTGGGAAACGACCAGATGTCTCTATTTCAACGTCATTAACCGCTTAATTTGATTGTAGTGTAATCAGTCAGAGGTCATTTCGTAAGAACGAAATGAAAAGGGGGAAAACCCACCTCAAAAGACAAGTCCGTGAGAAAAAGACCAGTTGTAGTCCGGAGCTTGGACTTTTAGATAACGTGGGATTTTACGCTAAAAATTCCCGAAGTCGTTATTGACGTTGCCATGATCGGAACTGAATTAACGAAACTGTTAATTAAACATAAAGTGCGTTCCAATCAAAATATTGCCTTCCGAAAAATCCATTTGAATTAGCATAGATTTGACGACCTTCTAACTCTAAGCAGGCAATACAATAGATGTATATAATCTATATATTGTTTCGAAGAGGTACGGGGACAATATTGCCAGTATACAAGGGGGAGGTGGGGCTATTGCACACTATACGCCTTTTGACCGAATTGGATATGTGACTGCCTAGAAATTGGTTCATGGATTTTTTTCTAAATTCCGACATCCGATTCATCGTGGCAAAAAGTTGGAATAATTCTTGTATTTTATATCATCATAACCAGGTCAATTATGATAGAAAATGGTATAATATATCAATAACAAAATGATAAATAACAAAATTTCCTGATACAGGAAATTTTCAATAGACGAGTAACATGTGTGCCGTCTTACGTCTTAAATACTGTAACTAAGGAGCACATAGTGATTTTTTGAGCTAAGTTTCATGAATGGAATATAAAAAGATAGACATAATTTTAGAGATATACTGTGATGCAAAACATTATGTACATTTCCAAAAAGACAATACAGTAATTACATAAAAAGTGCGTTTCCCCATGCATGTCCTGCATGTTCCATGACTAGATTTATATATTTTTTTAAATATTTGTTTTTTCGATCGACGAATACAATAATAAATATTAACACAAAAATAAATACTATTCCAAACCGTCATTAATAAGTTTTATGCCATGGGTATGTGGTATTATTCCTTTTTGATTTGTCGTAGGAACTAACTATTAAAATTATTACGGTTCAAATGCAATATTTTAAAGTTTAGATTATTCTCTCTTTTTCAGTTGTTGGATAAAGGAGTTATATAATTATATATCATGTTCTATTTTTTTAATAACTCCAATCGATTTCTTCAGTCGATGAACTTTTAGTAGATGAAAATCACACGTTAGACAAAGTTTCTGGAAACACCAGCCGTCTTTTTAATACATAAAATAAATAGGAAGTGTATTTCACATTTAACAGAATTTCATATTGATAACAGGAATTTTAATTAACAAAAGCGTATGTCGCCGAGAATCCGAACGACGAATAGTCCGAATCTGAAAAGAAGCTGATTCGAAGCCGGTTTCCGGATGAGAAGTAACCGAACGGAACATGTTGACCGCAGTATATACTGCTGTAGAACCGTTGATCTAGGTCTTTGATCTGCATGTAAAGAGAAAATAAAATGAACAAAAGAGGAGTTTTAAGAAATGATCGGATTTTATATAGGCATTGTAAGGTAAAAGAACAAATGCTTTCTCAATCTCTTTACAAAAATATCATTGTAACAATGCCCCACGGAAAGGATTGTTATCGATGAAAATTTGATAGGACTCGAAATATTACCACATCTTTGAACTGAATTATGCTACCTCATTGTGAAGTCACAAGTATTATATTTACGTCCAGCATTTTGTTTTTAATTGTAATTTTTAGCACAGTGATCAGCAATTGGTAATAACTTTAACGCAATTCAATTATAGTGAAATTGCATGACTAGTATTATCAAAATAGTGGGATCTCTGGCTCGCTATCTGACTGAAATTGTGATCAACATAATACAAAGTACACTACGATATGTAATGCACGCACATCATTATGATTAGTACGTGACTAGCCTTTGTAGAAAACTGGTGTTTTGTCTATCTAATGTGCAGAGTGAATAGGATGATGAATTATGAAGAAAAAATGTATAGTGGATGCATGGAAAGGAAAAGGGGATGAGGTTGGAGAGAGTGGAAGAGAGAGAGAGGGAGAGAGGGGGAGGGGAGAGAGTGAGGGGATAAATGTTGAGTGAGGGTGGGTGCAGAAGCGGATACAGAGGGGTATTATAAGCGAGATATATGGAGAGTGAGAGAGAGAGAGAGAGAGAAAGAGAGAGAGAGAGAGAGAGGGGGGAGAAGGGGGAGAGAGAGAGGGGGGTTCCATATATATAAGTGTACTATTTAGGGAGATAAGGGAGAAAGAGAGATAGATAGATAGAGATAGCGAGAGAGAGAGAGAGAGAGAGAGAGATATTGGGGGAGGTGATGCCATATAGAAGGGAACTATTAAGGAGAGATAGGGAGAGATAGGGAGAGATAGAGTGAAAGACAGAGAGAGAGAGTGAGAGAGAGAGAGAGAGTGAGCGCACGCATGTAGATGAATTTAATAAGAAGATGGAAAACGTTATCCAATGATAGGTGTGGCGGTCAAACTAAGAGATGTATATTAAAAAGCGGTAGCTGGATTCAATCAAACAGACTTTAAAGGGATAGTTGAGTTCTGTTTTCAGATCGCAAATGCCTTCAAAGTGCATGGTTATTGCTCTTATTTTTATCTATGACATTTCTAGTGCCCTTTTAGAACCTAAAATTGCTATGAAGGTAATTTTCGACCCCAAAATGCGTGAAATTTAGCCAATACTATCATACCAATTCAGCTCCACTTTCAAAAAAACACGGTGACCGTTAATTAATTATTTAATTAAAAATAACAATAATTGGGCTGGCTGGTTATACGTATTATAAGCAACGCGAAAATTCCAACAAAAAAGCCAACATCGGCATTGGTTGAAATACGACGTAAAAGGCGTTATTTCGGTTTTTTTCAACGGGTTTTTTTCAAATTTTTCAAAATATCTAATATTTTTGGTGGTACACAAGTATTAGAAATCGTTATATTTCAGCCGTCTCTGAACCGATTTTAATCAAACAAAGATGATTTTGTCATTTAAATATTATGTTCTTTCAAATTTGACACTCAGTTTTTCATTATCTCACAATAAAATTATTTTGTGTAGCGCCCTCTGCAACAGAACTTAACTATCCCTTTAAGATGAAAACGATTAATTTTTACTGTTATATTTAACCTATAGGAGAGAGAGAAGGAGGTACTAGGCATATTAGTTAAAATTTAATCCTTACCTAACCTTGACGAAAAATAAGGCTCATTGATTTACATGGACACAATTGCCATAACTCGCCGATGATATTTGAATCCGGATATCTAGTTTATATCCAAAATATTTCATTCCCTTTTTTTAATACCTTTTCTGCTAAAAAAAAAAGGACAATGCACGCAATGTAAACATTTCATGTACCATAGCTTATCTAAGGAGGAACGACATGATGTATTTGCATGTTCTGTTTTGCAATGTAATAATTAACCCTTATCGCCCAGATACCAATGTCTGCTGAGCGCAAGAAGGTCGTTACTTTCATTTTCGTTTCATAGGCATGACTATCCATGAGAGGCAAGTCGTTTAACAATGTTAAATCTGAAATGCACGGCCCTACGTGTTATCAGTGTTTGTGATATGCTGTAATATTGAAGCCCTGAAAAAAATTGCGTTTCAAAATGATCAAGAAGTACCTCAAAAAAGTAAAGTTCTCTGAGTGACCGGCTTTACCATGCTCGTTTTCCCCTTTAGGCTGTAGTGTTATGAAAACCGTTTGGAAAACGCAAAATAAAATTTAGATTTTCAATCATAAATATCTTGATAATCAGACAGGCAATCGGCTTGTAATGACCTAAAGGTTTATAATTATGATCGCAGCATGAGCTAAATCAAGGATTTTGTTTAAGGATCTGAGACAAAGTTAACGGATTCCTTTAAAGCTTGATCCTCTCACCCTTCCTAGGAAGCTCTGGGTTCAGCTGAACCGACTGCGATCATGCGCAGGCCGCTTTGCACCAAATAATCATGAAGCTCTGAGGTGTCAAAGACTCTGACCTGTGTCCATGTGATCGAATTCAAACTGTTAAGCATGTTCTGAATGAGTAGCACTGTAGCAGGACCCACATGTCCCCTCATTGATATGAGCAACCCACAACTGGGACCCGTTTCGCAAAGCATTTTTTCAACGACAAATGACAAAAAGCAATGAAAAATCTGCTGATAACCAATCAGAAGCAATACAAGGATTTCAGTAGCTTATAACAAAAACTGTCATTTTTCACTGATGACAAATTTTGCGAAATGCCCCCCTGGTGTCATATCTAAACAATTGTCATTTCTAAATTGCTATGGATGTTATACGAAATAATAATTTCATAATCAATGTTTGTTTTCTCTTCATATTTCCTACGACATAGGGATAAGGCCCTTCTGGCTCGAAGCAGACGCTATCATTTACGAGAACACCTGCAGAGATCACATTGACTCATCCACTTGCCAGTTTAAAGTTCGTTGCCTTGCTCGATACGTACGTCATTAGACATTACATTTTGTATATAATGTCCACTCTCAACCCAGGTGAAGTAAATGGTTACCTAGCTAGCAGGAAGAATTTTCTTGAATGTTATTGTGCCGTGAAAGTGATCTTGGTGATGCACTGGAATGCCGATGTAAATCATGGCCCACTCGTTTTTGATAACATTTGCCTACATTTCACATGTAAGCGTCACTTTTGACCCAGGTGTAGCATATGCATGGTTATCATAAGAGGTTTTTTCTTAATGCTAAAACGCATACATGTGATGAAGCCACAAACTGTAGTTACTACATCTGTTTTATACATATGCGCTACGAGTATGAAACGAAGAATCTCTTCGATTGTCCGCCCAATTACTCCTATTACTTAGTTTGTTCTTAATAGCGTCAATGAAGCAAGGAATTTAATACACTCGCTAATAATTCAAGACAGTCTTTGTACTGCTTATTTTGCTTTCATTGTTTGTGTCATGTCTCCCTGGCGCGTCCAAGACAGTGCAAGTCGCTCACGTATTATTACGTCAGGACGGTCAGGCAAATAACGCCTCGTGCGCTTGAGGCTGTAGAGTAGGTGCAAAAGGAGCGCCATTGCTTGAATCTTGAATTTGTTGTACCCGTGTGCACCTGTGCAAAGTGCATGTGAAAGAAGCAAACATCGGGTAGGTTAAGCCGTGCGTGTACTTGAAGACACACGTGACTTACTGTAGAGTTATAGAGGCGTGTTCAGATATGGCATGGTAAACCGCCGACAAAAGGACTAGTGCGTTTTTTACTGAGCTCTGGTGTGTTGTAAGATACAGAAAGGTGAAGCGTATATAACATTCGGCATCATCGCGGTTTTTCGTCGTTATGTCTGAACGAGCCTTTAATCAATTTACTATGTGAACAGCGTTGCTATTGTCGTGTTGGGATCGGTGTATTCGATATTGGCAGTAGGAGAGGGACATAAATATGAAGCAGCAAGGAGAGGAGAGGAGAGATTTACGGAGTCATGTGAGAGTATTTATTATCTCCAAACTTTGGAGAATCGAATCGGTCACATCATTACGAACTTCCACATATATGTCAAACACAAGATGAAGGAGAGCCAGCTAGAAGGAGGGTCTTGATTTAATGGTGATCAAAACTCATCTCCTTTCAGAAACCAGACCATGTAATATTTAAACAGAAGGATACAAGTACTATGAGGGTAGGTTACATTGTGTCTAAGGGACAAAGACATGAATGAGAGCCGCCAAAACATGGGCTTAAACATAACAAGGGTGGCATTTCCTGGGAAGGGGATTGTGAGTGCATTTGGTCTTTCTATGGGGGGATTATAAAGATATAAACTTGGCTTTTAAGTGCATCTCAAATTGGGCATCTTGTCAGGGTATAAAATATGAGGGTACTTTAAGTGGTTTTTGGGACAATACTACACAACACTATTCACAGAAACTTCTAAAAATCAACCTGAGGCAATTTCAATAGCCAGTCCATCTTCCATTGATGAGAGCCAACATTAGAACAACGAATTACATAATCCGAGAATTATCTCTCACTGATATACAATACAATAGGATATTGAAATTACCCTTGGGTGGATTTTTAGTAAGTTAATGAGATCGGGTTCCAATCAATGTAAACATTTAATAAAATGTATTTACCAAAATGTGGTCTCTGGTTGTCGAGCACAGCAGTGCGTCCTCCACATGGAGATTGAACACGTCGAAGTAGAGATTGATTCGGACGTTGGGAGGGGCCACGATGTGATAGACGCACCGCTGGTCGGCCGGGTAGCGTGAAGGGTAGTTGGGACTGGTCAAGGTTCCTGACTCTTCCAGGAACACCTGGTCACAGTCTAAGGAATTAAAATACAAAAAAAAAGATATTATAGAAGTAAGGAAGGAGGTGCATTAAACATGAGGGCAGAGGAAGAGATAGCCAGAAAGTGTGTATATGTGAAAGAGAGAGAGATAGAGAGAGAGAGAGAGAGAGAGAGATAAATGAGGAGAGAGAGGGAGAGAGAGAGAGAGAGGGATAGAGATAGAAGGGGATATAATATATATTATAGAGAGAGAGAGAGATAGAGGGAATATAAAGGGTAATACATGTATGTTCTCATATCTTTTTTAGATATTGTCTTGACTAAGAAATTATTATTAATATGTCATTCTCTTCAAACGCAATACATGTATGTACAGCGCCATGAGCGTCAGAGCCTGGCGGATACCGGCGCTATATAAATATCCATATTATTAATATATTAAAGCTTCATTAAAAGAACCATATACTCTCAAATCAGTTCATATCTAAAGAAAGGAATACGTGTCAATTCTACTTACCAGATGTTGATACCGATATTGGGATAAATCGATACGATAACGAGTAGCCCCTGTCGTCTGCTACTGTTGTGAGATCGAATTGCAGTATGTTACTTGTCGATGTCCAGTTGAAGTTTGTGAATGAGCTGCATGCACTGTACACATTTTCTTCATCTTTAACACGGAATGAATCACCTATAAGCCGCAAATGTAAAAAAAAATATATATATAAACATTGAAAGGAAGTTGATAGAAATCATTGTTAAATTGTGGAAATCCTTGCATAATAGCTATCTTAAAATAGTACATGTATTTACAAAATGGTGTTTGAAGTCAGTGACATATGTGATAGCAAGCAAGCATTAATACTTTATTGAACGTTGTTTCTCCTTCTTAAAGGTTTCCGATTATGTTACACTAAACGTTGAATTAATAATAAATTCAAAGGGGAGGGGGGGTCAACGCCACATTGCTAGTTCAGAAGCGATTATTCCGAGTAATACACAGAGTCATGAAAGTTATCGAAATGCAAGACAAAAGGGTTGTGATTTCTTATGACACAAACCTAGTTGTTTCAGTTTGAGTATGAATGTAGGCAGTGGGTATAACGAAATAGTATTTAAAATGCAACTCATTGTCAACACAGGGATGTCAGTCTTAGATTGCGCTTAGGCTCTTCCCTGTTGTTTGATTTTTAACGTTTACATAAAGTAATTCCAATGAAGTGATTTAACTGTCATTGCATCCATCAAAATATTAAACAATTGTACTGACCTGATGAGCAATCTACATAGACGAGTTTAAAATTGACCAATACCACGTGACCAAGCGGTGCAACGATAACTATACTTGAAAGAGCGCCATCTGTTGACCCTATTCTCTCGATAGTACCCTGGTCATGTGTCAGGAAATTGTCGTCTGAACGAACAAAAGAAAAGAAGGAATCAAAATATTGATATTTTCAATAAAAACAAATTTGGTACTTGATATTGACATCTAGTTTGTTGTAAGGTTTTTCTTTTTGTTTGTTACTCGTAAAGAAGTTCATGTCAGAAAAAAGTCTGCTATGAGTCATCTGAAAAAAGTTGACGGAATCTAGACAAATTTGTAATACAATTTTCTGATATTTGCTAAAGAACAACGACAGTGATTTGTTGTTTAAATAAAGTAATTTATTTTTTGCCGACGAGAAAAACTGAATGCCCTCAGATTTGTTTTTGTTTACAGTCAGGACGGGAATTCGAATTAAAAAAAAACATTAATACTAATAATACATTTGTATTTGTATGGCACTTAGGTCATAGAGAGGGGAGAGGGAAGGGGTTGGAAAGAAAGAGGTATGGGAAGGACAAAATCCTCATTAATTTGTTTTCGATAAATGTTGAGAAAATCCCTGCAAGTACTCGAGGTAAGGAAAAGAGTAATGTCTATTATAAAATATATACACAGACACATTTAAAAAGCATCACGGACCTGAACGAACGACTGGCGGCTCACTGACGCCCCCGGGTTGTGTCGTCGCCATTGTGACATCGTCTTCCGTTGAATGAGATGACGCTTCGCCCGGCTTCACTGTCGATGTCACGCATGCACAGGGCTCCGACGTATGAGGCTTCGGCTGGGGGCACTCATCGTCGTCCAGGACGGTCAGGAAATCGGAGCCGGTTCGGCATAGCGCCAGCCGCGTCCGATTGGCGCAAGGTTTACACTGTTGCGTGAATGAAATATACAAGTTCATGCTTAGTCAAAGAAACTTTCTTCAAAATGCCATGGAACAATGATTAAGTATAAGCTTCATGTTATGACAGAGACGAAGATGGGAGTCCGGTTACACATATTAGGTTACTGACTCTGTTTAGATAAAATCTTTCCATCAAACTGTATGTTTCCTATAAAATTGAAAATTAAACTAAGTATTTATTGTCATATTCGGAAATTCGTTTTCCCTGGTACAGTTTTTCAAGTGATTTTAATAAAACAAGTAATAAATCATTATCTGTCAAAACAATGGTTAAGAATAAGAATCACAACAGTGTCAAACTATTTTTAAAGGGGTTAGATACTTGAGAGGAGGGCAAGGTCAGCCTTTTTTCGATTTGTTTTCTTTGGTTTATTTAGTTCAACTTCTCCCCAAAACGGAACGATAAAAATGAACTTTGTATTGTCATATGTATTTCATTTTCAAGGTGGTGGAAAACTGGAACAAAATTTGAACAAAATGACCTCTTGTCCCTCCGCTTCTGTTAAGTTTAAGTAGCAAAAAATATGTTTTAAAATAAATAAATATGAACAAATTACTTCAGACCACGAGCTGAGCACCCATGTCCCAGGGCAACGGGGCAAGTCCGTACAAGGTTCGACAGCACTCGGTTTTTCCGAATCGTCGCAGAAAGAATCGTCCACCACTCGAACCCCGTCGACTGCGAACAACAGACAAACCACCACTCGAGTTCGCACGCCTTCACCGCAGGTGGCGCTGCAAGTAGTGTTCAGATCCGCCAAAAACCACCTGCCAGAAAAGGATCAGGAATAAAAATCAGTAACATATTGGAAATTCACCTTTTTAAAGAGAGTATGTCTCATGCAAATTAGACAAGCGCAAGAGATATCAATCTAAACGGCAGCGTTATATATTGAAGGCGAATTCATGTAAGAATTTGTTTACTATGATAGAAACGATGTATTCGTCTATTTATTTGAGTCAATGAATTCCATCCTTTCGTAAGATGACTATAAACAATGTTAACAGGTACAACTCCTGTGAATATGAATATTCTTTCACGGTCAGTTGTTTATAGAAATACTTTTCACGTTCTCTAGACAGTTTTGTGTTTCCTGGATCATCATCGTAGGAAAACATGGTATTTCTATACAGTACTCCCAGCAGTGGCGTACGCATAATTTTTTCAAGGGGGGGGGGGGGGTTAACATTTTGAAATCGGGCCAAAAATTTCGGAACGACTCAGCCGGGAGGGTAAGAGGACATATATATATATTGTTTTGGTCCCAAAAATTTCGCAACGACTCAGCCAGCCGCTGAATAAGCGGGGGAGGGGGATAAGAGGACATTTTTTTTTTTTTTTTTGGTCCCAAAATTTGACAAGTTGACCGATCGACATTCCGTTCCGTTGGGGGGGGGGGGGGGGGGGGGGGGGGTAAGGTCATCTTTTTTAGGTAATCCATTAGGATTTTTTTTTTAATTATTTAAAAAAAAAAAATCTAAACTCAAAAGGGGGGGGGGGGTTACCAAAAACATACACATACACAACCCCCCCCCCCCCTTCGTACGCGCCTGACTCCCAGAGGGTCTTACCTTGGCGGACAATTGTCTTCCTGGCAAGACTCGACAATGGGGACATGTCGGCTAGCAGCGTCACAATATATGTCATCAACGAACTGGACGCTGATGACGTCGACGCATCGAACAACTTCCATACGGGTACCTTTTGATAAATGAAATTTAATTAGGACGGAATTTCAATTTTGTATATAAACATTATTTATCGTATTTCAATGCATTGCATGTATACGGGCAGGTGAAACTGGACTAATGCTGTGTGTGATTTAAAGATATTGATGTCCCACTTGTAATTCCTTTCAGTTGATCTGGCTAAGTTCCTATCACCGATGCGTGGCATTCAGAAGTAGCCGTAATCCAATACGTGCGTTCGAAATAGTTGCTTTTTCCCGTTTCGGATTTCTCCTCCTTGATGATTTTGATTTGCAGTGACAGGGGGAGTGGGCAACCGGGGTAACATGTCCCCCGACAAAACCTACATTTTCATTCCCTCGTTTAATACTAATTTTTTTTCTAACTAATGATATCGTTCCAGCACTGATCTGTAATGTAACTTTCATCTCAATGATAACAAAGTAAGGGTAATTACCGACACCACAGGTAACACTGCATTCTCCGCCGGACTTGGCCCAGATATGAGTCACTGGAGTCGGGGTGGGTGTCGGGACTAGTATGGACTCACTGACATAGTATACATAGCGAATATCACCGGAAGCTATCCTCCCGGATGTGTCAGCAAAGGCCTGGATTTCTATGTCGTCTAACGTGGGCCCAGCTATCCTGTTAACGGGTGATAGTATATATTAATAACAAGCATGGACATTTTGGGGTGAAAAGGTATCATGCTTTTAAGGGCGCCATCAACATTAGGTGTGCAGATGAAATAACTCCAATTACATACATTGTGTTAATATATTTGAACCTTTATATTTCTTTGAAGGCAAAGGCAAAATATTTTCGCTTTATCTGTCTTTCTCCTTATGTTTGGGTTTTGCAATTTTCAAAATTTCAAATTTTCAAAAATGTTCAAGATTTTCCATCGGCTAATTGAAAATGAATGCTATGAACACTCTATTATATAAACTAAAGGAAAGGTGATGATTTTCAATTCTTCTTTTGAGTTATTCGCTCTTAACCTTTCATCAAAGTTAATTGCGCCATCCCAAAAGATTTGAAAAAGTCTATGGCACATAAAAAATGAGCAGATTATGATTACGAGATCAAACAAAACCATTCAGCAGGTATAAGTTTAGACCTTTGATTTGTAAAGTTCTTACGTAATTATCTCTTGTCCAGATGCTACGTGATAATGAACGGTAGTGTTCCCAACGCGGTATTCCCACCTCGGTGACCGGGTCTGACTGCTGCCACCAATTGCGAGCTGGCCGTTGATCATCACGTCTGTTTAGGAGAAGGCGACATGTTACAGAGAGAGAGAGAGAGAGAGAGAGAGAGAGAGAGAGAGAGAGAGGTAAAAAGAAAGAGAGAGAGAGAAAGAAAGAGAGTGAGAGAGAGAGAGAGAGAGAGAGAGAGAGAGAGAGAGACCGATTAGGAATACATGATGGAGAGGAGCTTGAGATTGTTGAAAAAAACTAAATGTATATATATATATATATATATATATATATATATATATATATATACATGGATTATATATACACAAACTTTCGCCCATATAACGTTGGAATTAATTTTTCTTCCCTCTTTCGCCATGAAATGATCGGGATAATGTGACATATTATCATGTTTATGAAGTTTACAACTTTTACGAATTGCATTGATCCATATGACTCTTTAGATCAATCTGTAAAGTTCCGAGAAGATATAAAGTTTATCTATAAAGAATAAATAATATTCTCACAATAACCTCGTGAACAGCCTGAGGTAATCAAAAATTGATTCCACCTTAATGGGCAACAGTGCATATATATATTTACAAATTTTCTCAGGGCGTCTAGAAAAAGAGGTATAATAACTTTTGCTTTTGCCCAGTTCACCCTATTAAAGACGCTTAAAATATTCAAGGAAAAACTTACTAACAGGCCAGTCACCCATTTACTACAAATGGGTGGAGGGTGGCATATTATTAGATTATTTCTTGCCATATAACATGTATATAGTGCAGCAGCTTAGACATGAACCGCCGACCATGTGATCCACACTTTAGTGACCCGACAACGCTAGACTATTGGGTTGACAGTGCCATAAATCATGGAAATATCGGTTAATTAGTATTTTATCTTTTGCTTTAAAAAAAAAATTACATCGAGTTCCAGAAATGAAGAAAGATCAATTGCATCTCCTATCTCTTTAGTACACAGTAACGATTAACAACGCTAGACTATTGGGTTGACAGTGCCATAAATCATGAAAATATCGGTTAATTAGTATTTTATCTTTTGCTTTCAAAAGAAAATATTACATCGAGTTCCAGAAATGAAGAAAGATCAATTGCATCTCCTATCTCTTTAGTACACAGTAACGATTGACAACGCTAGACTATTGGGTTGACAGTGCCATAAATCATGAAAATATCGGTTAATTAGTATTTTATCTTTTGCTTTAAAAAAAAATATTACATCGAGTTCCAGAAATGAAGAAAGATCAAATGCATCTCCTATCTCGTTAGTACACATTGACGATTGATAAGCCTATCACTTCCAAATGACTTCTAACAACAACAAAAATGTAATTGAGTTACGGAAATGGAGAATGATCAATCGCATTTCCTATCTATGTAGTACGAAGTTACGATTGATTATCCAATCAAATGCAAAGCACCTGTTATTCAATCACAACTCTTTCATAAGGGTCCAGATCTACTGATTGATCATGAAGACAACTTACCCATAAACGTGGTGGTGTTTGTATTGATCACGCTGAGTGACGTCACATTCTGTTGCACGGTCAGAAAAGTGATAAATTCTGCATACAAAAAGAGAGGCAAAGTAATTCCATAAGATTCATTACTTTTGAATACCAGGACAAGAATCAGCGGTGAAAAAGAAATATAACAAGCAAGGAGGACACGTAATAATAGCTGCACCACGACTAATATTTTACATTAATTGAGAACATTATAAAGACGTTATTGACTGTTTCCTCTGGAACTTTGAATGGGCGAAAGTCGGACCCTTCCTTTGCTGAATACGACACTGTCTTGATAATATTCCTACCCAATACTCATCATGTATTGTTTTGAGCGAAAACAAGGGGTGCCTAAATATGCATATGTGACCAGAGGTCGGACATATTTCATATTGTTAAATATCTGTCTGTTATTTTCTTTTTCTAGATCGATTTAATGCTTATCACTAGCAATAATTATTTCATTTTCAGTAATTACGCAATGTTATTCAACTTGTATATTTTTGTATTTTACTGAACTAATATTTGTTCAATGAATTGTATTTCAAAAGAGGTATTTAACCCTTGAATTGTAAATTCAATTCAATTCAGCCTCATGACTGCTATTTTAAATGTTGTAGATTATAAACTATACTAAACAGATGGAAAACATTATTATGAGGCCAATATCGGCTAAAAAGTAATAAAGGTCTCTTAATCATTGCCCCCAGGGGAGATATTCGTTATCACAAACCGTTTTCAAAATTAATCCGGGTAACGTGTAGAATAAAAAATTGATGATATATGTTAAATTTTAAAACCAGCGCAAATGAAATTAAAATAAGTTTATTTACAGCGTTCAGGGACAAAGTTTTTTTTTTTTGTATAGGGAGGAGGCTACTATAACGTAAATGGGGAACGGCCTCTTATGCGACACGAAAGAAACCAGTCGCCGCAATGTCAGCCCTCGACTTCCCTCTCCCCAAAGCGGAATTATTTTGGACAATAGTACCTCATTCAGTCCATGGTATTTCGAAGTTGTCACACTATCTTGCAGAGAATAGACAAAATGGAAAATCTTACGTTGTTCGGATAAGTTGAGTTGTATAGAACCGTCTACCCGGCGACAAGTGGATCCGTTTCCGCCGCATACCCGGCAATTGTCAAAGTCCACTCCGGAGTACTGGTAGCCATCGCAACCGAACTCCCGGCATGTCCCCTGCACGCATACGCGCATCTCGCCATACTCCAGTGAGCAGCGCGTACCGTCGGTGTAGGCGCCGTCACGCTGGTCCAAGACGCGTAGTGTTTCCCCGGTCTCCGACTCTATGTCGGCCTGGCACCACAGTTCACACAACTGGTCTCCTGTGTAACAAAATTCAATTTGGATACCGGGGTTTATTACCCTACACGATTAAAAGAGAAGAGAGAGCCACTACGAAAAAATAAATCAATAAGTAAAAGCGTAAATCAAAATATATCTATTTAATTACAGAATTGAAAAAAAATAATAAAAATCGACACACTCACCCGCCCCCCTCCTCCCCCCCCCCCACACCCACACACGCAAACAAAACGCATGTCTGCGCAACCTGTCACTTTTAATGAGATCTTATGTATAGAAACCTGAGTAACTCTCTCAAAAACACTTCTTGGGCTAAATCTGTGCCTGGAATTTCCGTGTCATTGGTCTTTTCTTTTTTGATCAGCCTTGAACGTGCGGTACCTTACCCGAAGTCGATGGATGCCCAAAGCCAAATGACCAATCTGACTGGAAGAAAATCCCCCAGACAACAATAATTGTCGCTGGAAGCATGTGTTGTACGACAAAATGTAGTTACCTGATAGATTCTGAGTGGTGGATGTCCAGGTAAGATCATGATTGTCGTACTGCTCAAGACCAGATGACATACATTGCTCGTCACGGAATTCCCTTTGTGTCGTTTTACATTCCTGATAGTAAACAAAACGTATTTTTAAAGTTTAAAACATGATCGCTTTTTTTGAAATATCAAATGAGCGGTAATTTCAACATCACGTTCTACATCCGAAAGAAATAATGTTAAAATTACGTAATAATTCATTTTCCCGTTTCTGCATTCAATCGGTGACGCTCAAGACTATTGAAATTGCCTCATGTTGATTTTTCGACAGAAGTTGTGATCGTGTTATAATAAAAACTTCAGTAAAACAAGCACATGTTTGCCTTCAAAATCAGCCTGTGGAACGCAAACCCCGACAAAACAAGGCGTTTTAATAAACCAAGACAAATTATATTTTAAAAATAAATTGAAGGCCAATTATTAAAGGTCACCAAAAGTTCCTTTCTTCAAAACATTGTAGTTGGAAAACTAAAATAGGTGGGAAACTAAAACAAAAGGCCATTCATAAGGTTATGATCCGTATTTGATAGAAAAGATAAGGTATTAAATTTGTGTTTGTTTTAAAGATAAGGTTATGGCGTTTTTACCTGTACGTTGCACAGATTGGCTACAGTGGATTCGCCTTGACAGGGTTCTCCTCCGTTATGTGGCCTGTAAAGAATACATTCGTTAATAGGACCGTCAGTGCGATACTTAAAAATATCCAATCATCTGCCAAAATGCATCTCATAATCGTTTCTAATGATGCACATGAACTTTCCCTTTCTTTTTTCTCCTGTCGTGTCCCTCAAAGTAATCCGCTTTGAAAGATTGCGTTCTTCTTTTATGTTAGGACTAATAATAAATATCGGATAACATTAAAGGGGGAGTAGCATGACGAGACTACGTGTCTTTCCTGTGACCTGACTCGGGGCGAATCGAGTATAATACGACTCGGGACGACGCGACCGCAATATTCACGTGCGTGCAACATACTCGAAACCGAAGCGTGTGGAGTACTTCGGTCTGTTTCGCGAACGCTAGCGCGCACTGACCGTTAATCAAGTCCTTTCGTTTACATGCACTTGTTCAAAAGAAGTCGTAGTTGGCGTTAACCAGTATTTGCCATGCTATACCCCTCCCTTTAACCTAAATAAAAAGCATTGTTGCACGAGTAACGCCAAAATATTGGATGAGTCGTAGACGAGCTCAGGTATAAAGATTATCCCTTAAAGCTTTTTGGATAATTGATTGCGAACCTGTTAAAATGTTCATGAACTACAAAAAAGGGTACACCTCTTTGTCTTGAAAACAAGTAACAAACAATAAATCGGCGAGAATAACAAACCTTAGGATAGGTGGTACTGAGAAGACGATCTGCAAATTTTCAAACAAAGATCAACCAATGGAAACTTCAGTAGCCTGGCCCATGACCTTTTGGAATGTGTGAACATTACAATTATGTACGGTATTACGTTATCCGAGTGTGATTTAGATATGGGATATATAACAAAAGTAGCTTATGTCGTGTTTGAGACCCATTCATTAAACAGCTTTAAAATGAAAATGAAAGGAGCTCACTCACTCAGGATTGTTGCAATAGCGATATCTCAGCTCCACACCGCCGCCGCATGTTCTTGAGCAGGGGCCCCAGGTAGCGTCCCATGGGGACCAGCCCCCATTGATAGGTGTGTTGGGTCTGTCCACACAGGTGCCCTCAATGCACCACTGTATGCAAAACGAGTATAGCGATAATGGAAACGAAGATAAAAAAATGTTAGTTTGGTGTTGGGCCTCGATCTCGACACGACACTGGTGTGCTTTCAACGTGTATGCAATACAAATGGATATTTGAAATATAATTAAATTTGCATCGTCACGGCAACCTAAGGAACATCTAGTATGAACTACAACATGACTAGCTTAAGGCTGACTTTAGATTTAACCTACTGCATGATTGGGGAAGGAGCGACTTTCAGTTTGGTGAAACAGAATTACAGAGTGAACAGACAGGTTTATAGTAATTGAAAGGACTAGTGCAGAAAGCTTGGCGAAGCTTACTTTATGTTCTCCGCATGTTGTTCCGTCTGCTGTTGCTACTCCAGTACGCGAACAAAGACCGTTTGGGAACCTACAGAACATTTTGGGACATCGATCCTGTTTTACAAATAGAAGAGATAAAAATGCATTTACAAAACCAATTATAGATATACACACCGTTAACACATTTTTAAAGGATTTTTTTTATAAATCAGCCAACCAGAGCTTGTTATCTTTTCAAGCCTTTTGTTCTCCTTCAGCATAATTATGTATTTCCCTTTGATGTTGTAGGATTGCGGCTTTCTGTCCATTCCTGCGTATTTATAGGATGATTGCAAGACGAAAAGCTTACAGTCGGTCTTTCGGTGTTCTTATATAATTATGTAAAATACTTACTTGAACTCCATAAATGGGTAAGGCTGTGTCCGTGCATGCACCGCTAAAGTAGTCTGAGTATTGCAGGCATTGCTCGTCAGCGTCGTATATCTCACCCGGAAGCTTTTCTCCCTCATAGCCGACAAGAACTTCCGGAATGTCGTCCAAGCAGGTGATGGTCGGATACCTGAAAACCAAAAGAGAACCAATATTTCATTAATTTAATTTTAGATTTTTGATTGATGTTACTATTTCCTACATCTGTGGTGGATAAGCCCTTTTACCAGAAGTTGGTTTCGAAGGGGTCCACATTTTTTTTTTTTTTTAATCGTTACAAATCAATATTTATGAAGTAACATTACATGGCAACAAGGAAGAAACAAACAAACAAAAATGAAATCATTAAACTTTATAAGTAATTTAGGTATGAGAAGCCTACTGTTTAATTCGATCTGGACTATTATAGAGCGGGCCATTTAACTACGGACCTTTCTTGTATGTTTTAATGAAAGTGGTATTAAAAAGAGAGAAATAAGAATACGGACCTTAGAAAAGCGTCCAATTGCTCCCGACTGCACTCCGACCAGAGATATGAGCCAGTCCCACCAATACGACTCGATGACATGATGTTGGTCCCGCCAGAGCAACCCGTGTCTGTGTCATGAAGCATTCCAACTCTGCAAACAAAAAAACGAAAATGGTTGAATATTTAATTAAATAATTGGTTCAATAGTGAGGCGCGGTGGCTCAAGGGTAAAGCAGTGGTCTCGTATCAAACAGGGAGGTCCCGGGCTCAAAACCAATTTAATGAACTTGTTGCCTTTGAAGGCATTACTTCTAATTACCAAGTCCCTTGGAGAAGACTCAAATCCGTAGGTTCCCTCGTTACTTACGTACAAGCATACATATTTTCTTAGGAGCCAAGTGAAACAAACAAACCAACCAACCTAATACTAAGTCGGCATAATATATAAAGTGTACACCTAATCCTCATAAGGTATATTAGGGACAGCCGCGCTCGAGGGGATAGCCAAGGGTGTTTGGAAGTTTCCAAGGTACAGAGAGTGGATGATTAAATCAATGCCCCTAACGATTGTTCTACTTTACTTTTTTGTGGGGGTGGGCAAGGGAGACCCGTGTCATCAAGTATGCATGTCCGGAAACGTTGGCAAATCAAATTGCATATGATCACAAGAGGAAAGTATCGTTATGTATAAAATGATACCGAAACCGGATTTCGTTTTGATTTGATTTGATTTGATTTGATTAGATTAGATTAGATTAGATTAGATTAGATTAGATTAGATTAGATTATATTAGATTAGATTAGATTAGATTAGATTAGAATTGATTTGATTTGATTTGATTTGATTTGATTTAATTTGATTTGATTTGATATGATTTGGTTTGATTTGATTTGCTTTGATATGAAGTGATGGGGTTTATTCGCCATAAAACTGAAACAAAAAATCAATTAAAAATTTAAGAGTGAAAACGTCACAATACAATACATTTTAATAATAATTTAATAAATTACAATAATAATACAAGAAGACATAACATTCACTATAACCACAACAGGGAAATGAAAAGGAAAACAAAAAAGGAAATAAAAAAGACAGACATTATGAAGGAAAGAGCAGAAGACTTAAATAGAAAAATTGAAAAAAATTGATGCAGAACAATTGTACAGTTTGATTGAATATACATACGTGTGACCGATCTCATGAGCGATGATAAGACCAGACGATGGGCCGTTATCTTCATTTACTGAGCACTGGTGAGTGGCTGAGCATGCGCCTCTCAGATTGGCAATACCAAGCAAGTATTTATTCTGCTTCAGTTCAATGTCGTGTCTACATAAAGAAAATAATCACGAAAAATTCAGAGTAAAAGAAAAATGATTGGTGTCAAAGAGGAACGGGTAGAAGTAGCACAAGTAATAGATTACAATATACATGTATATGTACCTTAATTGATAACGTTTATACAAAAATCGCTTCATACTCCAATTCAAAGAGATCATGGCATAAAGTAAGTTCGTTTGAAAATTCTTCATTTTGTATGTTGCCAGTGGCGGATACAGAAGGGAATATAATACCGAATGATATAGCTTAACGTTCTTTATAAAAGGGTGTGTGCCCTTACTAACTTACCGTTCACTAACCCCCGCTACAACGAGAACCTTTTTGTGTCATTAAATCAATATAGCTCTTTAAGCATGGACCTACTAGCAATGGTATAACTTTTGATAATTTATTCATTTTTAACCAGACTTTTTTGCTCTCACAGAATTCTGGATATGCCAATGTTAGGGGATTATGTATATTTTCATTTATATATGTGGTGTCAAAACATTAGGAGACAATTGTTACTGCTTATTCTTTAGATTTCATTAAAATCAGCTTTAAGGAAAGTTTTAAGGAAAATCTTAATGAAGTAAAATGTTTTAAGGGGGTCGATTTGAAGTTGGACTGTTCTGACATCGCTTGGATCGTTAACATTGTGGCAATTATTCCATGATATTCAGCCAAAAGAAAGCAAGACAAACCTTGTGATGAATACGGCATTGTCATAATGGTCCGGGTGGTCGTCATCGAGCTGGTTTGTGTGATATTGGTATGAACAGAAGCTACTCAGAGTCAGCTCACCGTCCGGTACCGAATTCAGCGTTGCGCCATCTTCAGTAGTAATCTATCGAAATCGACGGGGAATATTCCATTTTCGTAATATAATCTAACTTAATCTACAAATCTATGTTTAGTGCCTCGATACAAAATATTATATTCACATGTTTCGAATAATTTCAATAGTCAGAATGCGAATTGCGTTCATTAGTTGATGCTAGGTAAGACTAACGTTATGGCTTTTCCTGCACGTAATGTAAATAATTTAATTTGGACACATTAGTATTTAAAAAAAAAAATGATCATACATTGAATTTTAAAATGTCCTACTTGTAGCTTCTTGCTCCCTCTATATAGAAAACTTCCCCAATCGGTGCCTGTTGGTCCCCCATGATCCTCTTTTTCTTATGTTAGTTGAGAGCTGAGTTAATGAGATAGCCACATATCAGTGACCTCGCTGTGTGGTCTAGTCCCTTCTGGCCCAGTAATATTGACGGTCTTTAAAGTCTACTATTTTCTCAAAAAAATTATCATAAAATTGTGATTGTACTTACTGAGTCAGAGGTCATAACCATAAGCTTCACAATATGAAAGTAAAGCCCTCTCCCGAGCGATTCATGCCGGAACCTGCCGGCTGCCTTGTTGATAGAAAAAAAATATTTATATAAAACTTCGACGATTAGAAAGAAACGAGCTCAAACAATCCTTACAATTAATTCAGGATTTTGAAATATGCGACGCATGTGTTTAAGGATTAGCGGCACATGTTTACATTTGTCCAAAAAAAAAAACTTGGATGGCCTCGAAAAGGGGGCGGAGAGGAAGTGGGCACCGACGTTTCATTTTTTGAGGGGATCATACCGTTCGTATATAATCTAAATCAAATGTGTGAGTATATGAATACGAATTAAAGTATTCGAATAATGGGAAATGGTAAATATAAAATACTTAGATAAAATGAAATACCATAAAGAGTACAAACCGAATTATCAAAAAATAAAAATTGTTTTGACATTGGCCCCCGCTTCGTTGTGATATATTCCCCAGGGATTCGGAGGAAACAAAGAGAGGATTTAAAATAACTTAATTTTGACATATACATAGTTACTACAATCTCGAAGAAACCAATGATTTCCCCATGTAATACCCCTGAATTTTTCCAAGAAAGAAATTGAGCAAAAAGCGGGAGTTATACATAATGTATAGATTGATTTCCATCTCCCCAACTTTTGCTATATACATAATATTCTCGCAGATTTCGGAGAAAGGTATTTATGATTAAACGAATTTAAGTAGTGGAATAACAGCTAAGAGTGAGATGCTGTTTAAAAGTATCGGCTTTCATGGTGATGCGGTTGCACCGTGTGAGAGAGGAAGGAGGATAGGGGAGTCCTGAAAAGGATCCCCCATTCTCACATGGTGCAACCGCAAGCCTACTGTATAACCACGAGTTGATATTAAATGAGTAAGAGATAAAAAAACACCTTACACATTTCAGGACTTGCCCTTGTATACTCACTATGTTCATCAGGATAAGTGTATAATTCGCCACGTCTGGTCCGTAGAATAGTCGCATCTGATTGTCCGCAACCACCAACATTTCCATCGCTTTAGCGCCATCTGTTTCCCGCCTTTTTCTTTCCGTGTCTCGCTTTTTTCGTCCTGTGTAACCCGCCCTTGCTTGTGATTGCATCGGTGTTGTATGATTGAATAATGTGTCAAAGTATCCTGTTGTAGTAGAAATTATAATAATAATGGTAATAGTAGGAGTAGTAGTAGTAGTAGTAGTAGTAGTAGTAGTTATGTTAATAATGACAATGATAATAATAGTTATAGTTATAATTATCATGCTAGTGATAGTATTAATGATGATTATAATCATATTAATACAAACGATAATTATTATCATAAATAATAGTAAAAGATAAATAAATAGATTACAACAAATTGATACATGAATTAGTGAGCAATAATTTAATTGATTAATAAATAAACAAATTAATTAACTAAATAAAGATATTAATCATCATATTCCATTCTTGTCTCATTATGACTATAGGTCTTTACCTACTTCCAAGGGACTTTTGCCTTTCATTTTCTGTTTGATATTACAGTTTCGTACAACTTGTTATAATTGATGATGATATTTAAAAACGATGCAAATGCAAGGCACTGCGGTATACGCGGAGGAGTATGATAGTGCGTCATAATCATAAGTTCAAGTAATTTCTGCCTATGTGTGAATCATTCCTCTCCTCAATACAGAAATATTAATAAAAGTTTATTTTGATGTAATGTACTTCATTATAATAATTAAAATCTTTGTCAATATGTGCGCTATATAAATTCCAATATTATATTATTATTATAACGTTTTTTATTTGGCTCTCGTCAGAAATTAGCAGATTACCTTAATCTGAAAATACATGTTTTCAGCGCACACTTGCATGACAGATACGAACGTTTATATAAGTAGTACTGCGAAATAACGATACTTTAGATCTTATCTTGAAATAACTTATGAAGAAAAGTAATCCTCTTCAGATCAGACGCCGTAGAGCTGTGCAAAAGTACCTTCTTCTCTGATGATATTAGGATTTTCACCCACATAAAATCATTCAAACTGAATTGTTGCTGGTTAGTACCAATTATATAGTTTCAGAAATAGTATTATGCCTGACAATTGGGCAAGTTGTAATTAATGCAGATCGAAAACAAAACATAACAATTCCCGCACATCTTTCTTTTTTCAGGCTTTTTTTAATCACTTTTTTTTAACAGAGGCATGACAAAAAAAAACTATTAAAAAACCATGATATTGATCCTGGACAAATTTTGAACTCAAACCTTGCGTCACAAAGTGTTCCCCTCAAGCAAAACAGCACATTTTCAATCTTAGAACCTTTTTTCAAGTGGAAAGATTCTCTTTCTGTTTGAACCAGTGAATTGTACCCACATTGTTGGGAGTATGCTAGTCTGTTTTGTTTTCAGGGCCACCCTGTAAATGTAGCCATTATTATCGTTACTTTCATTGAAACATTGACCACCTACTTGAATCAAGTCCACAAAAGTGCTCTTCTTGCATATCGTCGTCATCCCCTGCAACCAATGTGTCGTTCCCGCTTTCGGTGTCGCGGTCGTCCGGGTACTGCGCGTCGCGTTTGATAACGATGTGGAGTGGATCAGATGATAATGACCTCGCGGCATTTCTCGCAAACGATGTGTCGTCTTCAGGGACTCTCATCTCGGCTTCTCTGCGGAACCTTTGGGCGTGGTGCTCATGGAGGGGTCTGATTACAAGATCATACTCTGGCGTGCTTATCACTCCAGTCTGTTGAAGAACGATAAAATAAACAATGAAAAAGATGTGACTAAACATGAATAAGTAATTAATGTGCATGACACGATCGCAAAGACTTTAACAAAAATTAAAGTGTAACTTCGATAGGCCGAACCTATTGTGTATACAATGGAAACCATGTTCAGATGACGTAATGTGTAATTGTGATGTTAGAACATTGTAATAATGTAGGTAATGGAAATTGTCTTTTTCTGGACCCATTCTTTACCTCTGAACTACAACTATGAACAACCTTTTAACCTTTTCTTTGCTTCTAGTGCCGACTGCACGAAGCCACAGGCAATTATAATTGACAAATTATTCGGTTTGTACAACACAAAAGCTTAGCACAATTATCAATTTTTAGTATTGATTAGCTACATGTTAGCCATTCTAACAACTGATTTTCTCTTTTTAAATAATTAAATAATCTCGAATCCATTGGTATAACCATCTCATTGGAAATACATAGGGGATCATTTCAATGGATTATTAAGTGTTAATCTCTCGGTAAAGAGCTTAAAACCACACTTGTGTCTTGCTAGCTTACCAGACCGCTACAGAGACTGAGCGCGGCGTTCGAATTGCCGCCATTGAATTCCGCAGGGAATACCAACTCGCCCTGGTAGAGACACTCCGTGTGGACGGGTTCCGAATGCGTCACCCTGCCGTCCGAACCGACAAACTCAGCTTCTAGCCCCTCTTTCACTAACCCCTTTGCCGAATCGACAACCACGTGGTATGTTGTGTCGAAAGCATCAAATTCGAATTGGCGCGCATTTTCGTGATGATGTTGGGTCGTCTGCTCTGTGTCTGTGGTGGAGCGTCTACTCCTAGATGATGCACCTATCTCTTTTGGCTGGGCTATATGATAGCCTAAAATAAAAAACGTAAAAGAATCAGTCAATTATTAATAATTCTTATTACAAAACAAGATTGAAAAAATGAAATACATAATAACAACGATTGAAACTGATACCTTTTTTTTTTAAACAGATTTTGTTTTGAAAAAAAAATCTACCTTTGTAATTTAAATGGCCATGTCCATCATCAATTGAACTGTACGAATACTTTGATAAAATGTGACGTTTCTATGGAATATATAAAAGGGTAATGTAAATGCAAGAGTGTCGGTCTTGTGGGTTATTTGTCTCGTGGGCCGTTGGCTCGTAGGCTGTCTGTCTACCTGGATGCCACGTTTCAAATCTATTACATTCTAAATAAAAGTTCATGTAATATCTATTTTTGTGATCTTTTTTTTATGTCGGTATATTTTTGTCTGCTCTTACAACTGGTATTAACATTCATTTTTTTCCTTACCTACAATCTTGTCCTCCTTTCCAATGTAATTCCTCAACTCTTCATGACTGAGAAAAGTATTCTTTGAGGAATGAGAGAGAGAAAAAAAATGTATTAACAAGTTTTAATTAATTTTTAAATAAATTGATATTAGGTGGTTTATGGTACAATGCTCTACGTTATTAAATTCACCTTATTGCAATGAAATGCTAATGATTGAAAATTACTCATTATGAGTTAAAGTTCATTCATTATCCATTTCTATACTCACGGTCTAATTACCGTTATATGTGCATTTAATATACATGAACTGTTTGCAGATACTGGCACTGTATCGTACTCGGAAATAGACCATTTTCAAAATGTATTCAAATGTATACAATAGCCACTTTTACCTGTTACTCAATATTCATATAGCAAGTTGCAACTATTTGTTTTGCTATGTCGGAATAAAAACCTATTGACTTGCCCAAATTAACAACATGATATTTAATGCAATTTTGTATTCTGACTATTGAAATACGACTATTCGTAAGATGTGAATGTAATCATTCGTACAAGGCAATACAATTACGAAAGGGCTATTTATACTATCATGTTGGTGATAGCGACCCAGACCGAGTCTCGTTTGTCTGTCTTTTGTGTCCAAGAGCCATTTTAGCTGGAGACAATTCTTATTGTGGTTTGCGTGTACATCATAACATACACCTATCTAAGCTCGCATTGTATGCAATTTTGTATTCTGACTATTGAAATACGATTATTCGTAACATGTGAATGTAAGGATACAAGGCAATAAAATTACGAAAGGGCTATTTATACTATCATGTTGGTGATAGCGACCCAGACCGAGTCTCGTTTGTCTGTCTTTTGTGTTCAAGAGGCATTTTAGCTGGAGACAATTCTCATTGTGGTTTGCGTGTACATCATAACATACACCTATCTAAGCTCGCATTGTATGCAATTTTGTATTCTGACTATTGAAATACGATTATTCGTAACATGTGAATGTAAGGATTACAAGGCAATAAAATTACGAAAGGGCTATTTATACTATCATGTTGGTGATAGCGACCCAGACCGAGTCTCGTTTGTCTGTCTTTTGTGTTAAAGAGGCATTTTAGCTGGAGACAATTCTCATTGTGATTAGCGTGTACATCATAACATACACCTATCTAAAGCTCGCAATGTATTATATATGTCTAATCCCCCTGTTTTCTGGTGTTTAACGACAAGTTTAAAGACATGTTAAAGACAAACGAAGAAAGGGAGGGAATGCATTTAAAAACGGTATTTGTCTGACGAAATTGAGGGTACGAGAGAAAGAGGAAGAGAGTCAGTGGATCAAATACATTGCTTCGTTCAGCATGGCGATATAATTAGTAGCTAAAAACTCAAACATTAGAAGTGGAAAGTTGAAATCAATAATGCTTGTAACAAACAGCAAACAAGTAGACGACGTAGGGTTCGTAGGGGATAGTATTGTGACGATCACTATTTTTCTTTACAGCAAATTCTATTTCCGTGTTACGAACAACTTGACCTTGTAACTCTTATGAAAACATCCTTCAATCGTCATGAATAGTCCCAAGTAAGTATATAATTCCTTATAAATCATTCGTATTATTATCTCAAACTTTTGAGGACAAGGAAAGTGCGTTAACCGTGTTTTCTTTTGTGTGTGCGTGATAGGCATACAAAAAAAACCTTGAAAACAAGTCTGTTTACAACAGGGGGACGAACCGGTGTACTCCCAAACAATGGTGCACGTGGAATGTCTTAAGTCCTTGGATAATACAAGTGGAGTGGCCAATCTTGTTTACGACCCCTTGTTTTCTTCTTCGTAGACAAAGATAACCTTTTCAATGACGGCTGCGAATAGATGGACAAAGAAAGATAGGTTACGGGAGAGAGAGACTCCTCTCGCGTGTACGCACAAACATGCAATTCGTCACTGCCACAGCCTGACTCATGTATATAATTATTATTCGAAGTTACACAAAGCAGGGAGCTGAGACTCAAAGTAACCTTTTACTTGCTTTGACAGGCTTGTGACGCGAAACACAAAATGTACAATAAATGAATCAAGTAGCATAATTGTTTGCAGCAAGATAAGTATAGTCTCCAACCACCTTAAGGGTTATGTTAGACAGCACTACGCTTAAACTCAACATGAAGTTTATTTTATGAGCCATGCAACATCTTCTTAATAGGGACTTTTAGATTTTGCACGACGAGAACGTGGACTGCCCTTTTAAGACAATGTGACGTCCTTTTAAGGCACTGGCAGTGACGTCACATTGCCTTTAAAAGCAGTCCGCGTTCTCGTCTTGCAGAATCTAAAAGTTCCTAATAACGTCTGCCAGAGACGTAGATCAGGGCGAAGATATTAAGGGCACTAAAAAGCCGCGTTGATATACTCGCAATGTAAATTATATACCAAAACAATTGTTTCAGGGAAGCACTATAGACTTCGTGTTGATATTCTGACTTAATATACTATTCAATTTAAACATGAATAAGGTCCATGTTGAAACAAGTTTAAGTGCTTTGTTGTGACTCAAATAATCTTATTTATCGTGAGTATTAAATAAGTGACATACCCACACAAAAGGACTTAAATATGTGTCATTCCTTTGTTTTTTTAAGTGCGCTTTGATGCTCTCGATGACACACTAAGTTGGGATAAAGAAGTGTAAATATGATTAACGAACCAAATCGATTGTAAATATAGGGATTACAAATTGGAAACTTTATTTTTGAAGTGTCCATTGTCACCCCGACTGCAATATGTCATCGGGTAAAGTTTAATGATAGCGCTTGCAAATCGATTAAATACAATATAGGCCTACTAGTTATTGTGATGACGTCATATAAAAAGGATAGACTTTGAATATCTATGCGATCTGGAAGTAAAGACCTAGTGCGATTTTGTTTGGGGTTTACCATGGGCCTGGTTACAAAGCGTTAGTCATAGCGAGTGGGTGCGTTTCGTCACTTAAAAATTCAAAGTGAGAGAGGGGGTTTCATGTCCCACTTCGAACTATTGACCCAACCCTTTAAAGCCCCACTGCACTACGTTTAGCTACATGGGCCCACTATATAGTAAACAATGCCTAATCGGTGCCTGTTGGTCCCCCATGATCCCCTTTTTCTTATGTTAATTGAGAGCTGTATTTGATGAGATAACTACCTATTAGTGACCTTACAGTGAGGCCTAACCCCCTGGCCAAACTAGTGCAGACGGGATTTAATGTATAATCTGTTTATGGTATGTCTACTTTTTTTCAATTTGAAAGAAATTCTCAGAAGTTTTGAACAAAGAGTGAATAAGCAAAGGTTCGGTGAGCAAATAAGGGATTTGGGAAAGAGAAATGGGAACAATGCATAATAATGGAAGAAAAAAAGTGAGAGAATTACATATACATGGGAGCGGGATGGTGAAGGAGACGGCTCTTCGTATTTGTAGATATCCTACATGTATGTTAACTTTGTTTAATGGAAGTTTCGGTAGAATTACACACATCGTGAGGGAAAGGGTGGGAGGGAGAGAAAGATCGGGGGTATATGTAAGAGAGAATCAAGGAAATGCAAGCAATAACGAAAAACGAAATCATGATCTGTAAACCAGTTGATCAAGATGACTATTCACACAAAAAGTACCAAAATAAGTTTAATATTACTAAAATGATATATTGCGTGAAATTCACTTTTCGGTTGCTTTGAATGCAAGAGGAATGAATAGTAGGCCTATACGTTAACCAAACAAAATGCAGTTTATTTTAGTCAACAATATTAGTGACATAGTTGATTGCGACAAACAAGTCTTAGCTTAATGACCATGGAAGGACTTATATTAAAAATATCCTTGAAAATTTAAGAAAAGAAAGGCCCATCAAAACACGCTGGTCAAAATGAGTTTTTGAAGGGAAAGAAGATAAATAAGTGTTACTCATCCCTTTCCTACTTCTCAAGCGTGGCATGATTCGTTTGTATTATGTTAAGGGCAACAGCTGAAGTAGGCCCGTGTGTACAAACCAAATTATCGATTTATTAATCTCTGGAAATAATGAGTGCAGGTAGATTAGTACTAATAGTAGTGGATTACGGCAACGACACGAACGGTGTTCTCCACAGTTATTCTATGGACACCGATGCTAAATACGATCCTAATTCATCAAGTCGCGTTCTCGATTGTCCACGCACACTTCGATCCAAAACCTGCTAATACGAAGGTGTGGGAAAATAAATAAAGGACAGAAGCATCGATGTATACCATTTAAATTCATAGCAAAGATATCGCATTATGTGATTGTGTGAATCGCTCTAGTTCCAAACCTTGGTCCAATAATCCCAATTTTTTGTTTGGCCTTGCTTTCATTTTACGTCATATTGCGTAGATAAGTATTATATTGCCAGAGAGGTTAGTATTAATATACATGTGTTGTGTGATGCGCTTTCCAGTGTCTCAAACCAAAACGAAACTTAAACACAACTATGCTCATATTGATGACAGTCATCAACAACAACAAAAATCGATGCAGCTGGCAATTCTTGGAACAAACAAACAAGATCAGTACCTATTGTTTTGCCGAGGAAAAACAAAACAGAAAGAGAAATTGGAAGAGAAAGAGAGAGAGAGAGAGAGAGAGGGGGGGGGGTAATTCTTGGAGCAGGACCAACAAACAAGATCAGTACCTACTGTTTTGTCGAGGAAAACAAAACGATAAATTGGAAGAGAGAGAGAGAAAGAGAAAGAGAGGGGATGGGAGGGGAGAAAGTGCATGGGGATACTAAAAACAAACATCGATATGTTTGCATTGTATATACGAAATGGACCTGATGAAGAGAAGTAAACATGCACACTCATCGTTACTGGTGCATTCAGCACTGTGGTGAAAGTGTACACGCATGCAGAGACATGCCAATCAATTACCTTTAAGGACCAGGACTTTAAATAGAGCATGTAATCCCCTGTACACAACAGACTGGACTTACCTCGTAAGCATGCGATATGCAGTTACAGAAACACAGGAGTGGAATCCATGCTAGGAAAAGGGTCCAAATTAGAGTCGCCATTCCTAGCAGTTATCACACGAAGTTGAAGAACTAAAAACGACACCTTGGTCAGTTGCAATATATCGTATAGAAATAAATCTGTAGCTGGAGTTATCTGCAGGTTAAATGATTAATGTATCATACAAATAATTTCTTATCTTCGCAAAATTGGATTGCTTCTCTTCTTTATTCAGTTTGGATTTTTCAACAATATCCTAGACGTAAAGTGATCGACGTTCAGCCACCTCCTTCAAATGATTAAATGTCGTTTATCCCTCTTCTATCTTCATGTTATATGTTGATGATTATTACGCTCAAATAGACAAGATGAAAAAGAATTTAAAAGTTCAGGGCTTCCGCTTCCGGAAGGCAATAGCTGGCTTACTTTTGGGCCGATGTAGATCAATGGATCAGTGGTAGATATGAAAGCTGTACCTCTCTAAGGAGAAGGAGATCCCGAAAATCTCACATATATAGATCATGAATCCAAAGGTCATCTGACTTTGCACTGTCCAGTGTTATTACAGTACTTGTCCTTGAGAAAACATGTTCATTGATGATGCTCAATGCATCAGGCGATTCCGAAGGATGTACTCCAAAGATGCAATAACAAATAATTTGTTAATCACAGATTCACAAAAATATTGCATCTAAAGACGTAACAATATTCCCTTGTTGATTGTCAAAGATGCAGACCCAATGGTTTCAATAGAAGTGAATGCTAGACTAGTGTTTATGCTCTACCTTGCTTTGTTTGGTAAATAAAACCAATTGTGAAGCGTTTATATGTCTATCTGTCTTTTTCGAGACTTGTTCCCGAATCTGTCTGAAGGGTAAGTGGTTCGTCTTCTCCTTCTTCCAGTGCTCACGTTTTCTCGACAATGGAGCGAGCGCTCGCTGGACCAATGAGCTGTAACAGAGGGACTAGCCTTGGGATAGAGACCCGCACGTACCAGCACGTACCAGCACCTTAATCTGAATCATTCCAAATCTTGGTCCTTTTTCATTGGACTATTCATCAGGTCTAGTGTCTTAAGAAGAATTGATACATCTTCAAAAAAATAGTTTAATTTACAGATCAACAACGGGCATGAGCTGGTTTTGGATGAAGCTTAATTGTTTCGACAGAAGGATTGATTATTTATGCTATTTTTTTCTCACTTGCTTTTATCTTCCACTAACAACCAAAGTGCCTTTTCCTGGCCATTACTGCGCAATAACAATTTCAATACCATCGTGGTGTTCTTACTGTCAGGACTGCTGCATATTTACATCTTTCACCCTTACAGACTACACAGGCCTATTATCCTTGTCTTGTTTGTAACACTTTCGGAGTACATTTAGCGAAACCAGTCATTCGATCATAAAATACATTTTAAGGTCCTTTCGCGACAGCCTCCACCATTGTCCTTTAAAAGTATTATCGTAATAAGTTTCTCTCCACGTTATTTCATTTCGTCGTCGACCATGAGTGCAGAATTACGAATCTTGTCTTTGTTTTCCCTTATACAGAAACAATTTCCCACCCATTTCGTTTCGGTATTTTTTTTACCAACTAACCCTTTAATCGCATTATGCATTTTTTAAAGATAATGTTTTTTATAGAGAAATGTTGTGGCACGAAAATACGTGTTTTGAACGCGGAAGATTAAAAAGTCAGTAATTTTTCTGAATTCATTTTTTTTTGTAGGGGGTGAAATATCTGAATGAAAAGTTAGATAAACAATGAGGCTAATCTACCAGCCCCATATAACAATGTGTTGCTACAAAAATTATGCGTTCTGGAGGCGTCTTTTCGTGCCACTATAATGATACATGTCTCTAAACTTTTGTTTATTCCTCAATTCTTATATTTAGTTGCACGCAAGCCTGTCGTCTTTCAAGTGAAATAGATGGGAGCACGGGAGATGATTACAGTGCAACATGTGCATAAGGATCGCTCGAGACAAGACATGCAGTTTTAAATGCAGCAGGTCTCTGGGATTAATTTAATACAGGTATACATTAGAACCCATTGGGGGGAATCTGTCTTCCCAGATAGGGTGTCTCTCTAAATAGATGGTCTCTACAGCTGGTTCTTATACAGTATTTGGTTAAGTTTCGAGCAATATTGTTGCCGTCTGCGTGAGAACCTACATGCGCCTAGCCGCAAATGATCCATGTTTGACCAACTCATAAACATAACAAAGGACGGTGTCTATTGTAGTCTACCTAGGCTCGCGGTCTTCCTTCAATAGGGACTTTTAGATTTGCGTGGACTGATACATGTGACGTCCATTCAAGGCAGTGCATTAAAAGGACGTCGATCGTAGCATAGACCTATTGTCTTCGTGCGAATCTAAAAGTCCCTATTGCCCAGCCTATATTGACTTAGTACCAAGGGGACCAGTGGACGGGTCCAGCTAAATGGTAATTAGTTCTCGTCTGTTTTCTGCTGGTCAATTTCCTTTGTTTGCGCGCAGCTACATGCAGGGAATGACTAATCGATTGTGACCTTGTTCCGCAGGTAACAGACAAACAAAAAGTCACAATGGCTGAATCAATGCACATTTGTTTCTTCCTTGGTAGAAGACGTTGATGCCTGGTTTGGGAATGACTCTGTATTTTAAAAGGAAGTGTATAGAGCGTATCCGAGGTGCTAGGGTAACTGCGTAGTGAATCTTTGAATTTATCGAAATGATAACAAATTGACGCAGATCTTGCTTTAAATCACAAACAATGAAAAACACATCCTAACTTTCTCTTTGATATATAAAATATAAGTCTCTTCCATCTACCTCCCTTACCCCATGCCCTATCCTTCTATTATCTTACTTCTTTATCCCTTCTCTCTCAATTTCCTTTCTTACTCTCCTTGTTCTCTCTGGCCTTTTCTTTATATTAAAGAGCTGATTTCGATGCAAATTTACCGTTACAAATCAACCTAAAAGTTCTTATTACACTTCAATGAAAAAATGCAGATGAAACCAAAAACATGTTTGATGAAAACCAGAGTGGAAATATAAGTTAACACAGAGTTGATGCATTTGTGTTGCTCTCAGGATGAGAAGGCAATTTAAAGACACAAGAGTCTTATGAGAAAAGGGTGTATAAAGAGATAATTTAATTTATATCAACAAAAATAGTTCTTGAATAACAGTCGATTTACCAAGTGACAAATATTAAACAAATCCTCTTGCCTTTTTAAAATTCTTTTTAATCTTCAAAATATATATATATATAGATATATATATATATATATATATATATATATATATATATATATTAATAGATATATCGAATAAAGTCCAGATCGGAGTTTGAGACAATACAACAAATTACAAGATATAATGATGCGCCGTAGACGAAGAAATTGTTTTACAAATGTTTACCCTTCGGGCTTTGTCAAGTAACCACATCCGATCACCATAAAATGCGACGGGGCACAGGGAGAGGGTACATTACGTCACAAAGAAATAAGAAGGCAGCATTTAGGAAAAAGCGCGTAGGAAAGAGATATAAAGTAATGGTACGTTATAACGAAACCAAAGGACGGCAGAATATCGATAAGCATAGGAGAGAGGACGTGAATGAACACGTCAGTAAAGGAAGAAGAAAACACAAAAGACAGACAGAGAGAGAGTCAAGAAATGAGTGGAAATTAAGTAACGCGTTGAGTCCACCAGGCTATATAAGCATCCCAGGCGGTAGATGATGTGTTCTTCTTGGAACTTCCGTGGTCATTCGTACAGCCATAGTATACAGCGACTCGATGGTATGTCCCGGCAAACTGTAGTGGTGCATGGCTACATGCGAATTGATTTCCATTTTAAGATCAATTTTAAGGGTTAATGAAACACCCCCGCGAGGTCCTAAGCTTAATTGATCTAAAGGCCCGGTCCCACTGCACTTACGGATGCAAAGAGGATGTAAAACGTAAAAAAATCTTGCCATCCGTTGGAAAACGCTATGCATCCGTTGTGTACTCATTGCATACGTGTTTCATACGCTCTATCCATCGGGCATCCGTCCACTGTGATTTCATCCGCGCAAAAAGTTTTGAGCTGCACAAAACTTTTAGAACGGATGAACTTCCGCCGTGTACGATGTAAATCCGCGACAAATACGAGCAACAAACGTTCTATGTCCGTTATCATCCGTTAAGCGTCCGCTGCATCCTCTCTGTATCCTCTGGGCATCCTCGCAACTCACATCCGCTGCAGTTGAAAACGGAAAGAGGGAGAAAAGATAAGGTACATGGAACGTCTATAAATCGTTAGTAGCACGGAAATAGAAAGGATGTAAGCGTATACATCTCGTATATAAAGTATTCAAAGCTGTCATCCACTTCCATCCCCTTTTATCCGCTAGGCTTCCGACGAACATCCGTTTAACATCCCCGCTACATACTACCCACGTCCGTTATTTTCCGTTCTGTTTTCGCAAATTTTCGCGAATTTTGTCCATTTCTGGAGCGGTTGAAAACGGATGGAACCACCCTCGAAATTTTGCTCGTCCGCTGTGTCCTTTATGCATACGTTTTGTGTCCGTCGGCCAGTGGGACCGGGCCACAAAACACTCTGTAATCCGATCCACCATCCTCTTCATAGTTTCCCTAATATAATCTCCTAACAAGCATTGCTAATGATCGCGTAGGTTATGTTGGAAGTAGTAGTACGTGATCACTTCTTTAATAGACTTGTCTTGGGTCCATTTAGATGAGTAGCGCCATTGGGCAGCGATCCCGGAAGGGACGATGGGACAGTCAATTTGTTAGGGGGATCGTCCCCTCCCCCCCGGAAAATTTAAAAAAGTGCAACCAATAATGTATAGCAAAATCATGTAATTTCAATAACATTTGTAAATCACTGGTATCGAATTAAAGAAATAACCCGCGTTTCAATTTTATTCGGGAGCAACTACACCCCAACCTTCCCCCTCCCCAATCAGTACGCCAGTGTCCAGGGGCTCATGTCTTCTAAAAATAAACACTCACGCTTCCCATCCTCTCACAATATTTCCAAGATATGCAGGTATCGCTATTATAAATCCTCTATTGATAAATTTAGGAGCATGCGAAATGTTTAGAAAATCTGATTCCTGCTAACTCTCCTTTTCTTTGAATGGAATATAATTTGCATGTGATTCATTCAGGTTTTATTATTTTCTTTTTCTTTTTGGTTAACAGATCACAAAGAATTTGTACTCCTTTACGGGGGAGGCGGCTTTTTTTTGTGGGGGGGGGGGGAGGGTCACTGCTCCATCCTCTTTCGGCACCCCTGTATATATATATATCTTGATCACGATTTCAACTTCTCACATCGTGACGCTTTCAATAATGTTATTGATGGTAAGTTTGTGTGTGATCTGCATAGGTGAAGTTGAGAAATTGGCAAGTAATAGAATTGTGAAGAAACTCGTTTTAAGTAATATACAACATAGTTGATCATATAGCAAATATGAATATGTGTGTAGTGCGAGTTTTGGAAAGGACTTCCCAGTCCAAAGACAGGGGAAATAGTGGTCTCTCAAACCGTCAGCAACATTAGGGACTTTTAGATAGACGAGAGCCTGGACTGCCGCGTGTGACATTATATTAAGGCACTTGGCCGTGCCCGGCAGTGCCTTAAGAGGACATCACATTACCTTAAAGGGATGTCACACGTGGCGGTCCACGTTCTCGTCGTGTAAATCTAAAAGTCCCTATTCTTGTGATCTCCTGAACCCTCGATTGATTGGCTCGTCAGAATGTCTTTGAGAATGACGTTCTTTTAAAAAGTTGTGGAAGAAAAGACATGATTGTATCACCTTAACAAAGATAATGTCATACATTTTGCTTGGAATTGAGTCTGTCTGTTAGTGTTAGTTGTCATTATTACATTTTCCAAAATCCATGCGGCCGAATAAGTCTGTAAAGTCGTTTTCAGATTGACATAAC